TCACCAAGATCGGTCATCGTGAATGCACTCGTGAGAATACCTTTCACCTTGTTGAGAAGATCAAGAGAACCTGAGACTAGGAGGAGGTCATCGACATATACCAAGAGCCAAATGTACTCCCCCTCACTCGTGTGCATGAAGTACAGAGCGTTGTCTCTCATGGACCTTGTGAAACCATGCTTGAAAAGTACCTGCTCAAGAGCATGATACCAAACCCGTGGGGACTGTTTGAGACCATAAAGGGACTTTACCAAGCGACACACTCGACCCGTACCGTCATCATAACCTTCGGGTTGTGCCATGTATACCTCTTCTTCCAAGACACCGTAGAGAAATGTGTTCTTGACATCCATTTGATGGATATGGAGACCAAGATATGCGGCTATGGCGAGGAGGACTCGTACCGTGGTGTACTTTGCTACCACGGCAAAGGTTTCGGTAAAGTCAAGACCTGGAATTTGGGAATAACCTTTTGCCACTAACCTTGCCTTGTACCTATCGAGGCTACCATCACCTTTTACCTTGATCTTGTACACCCATTTGACACCAATTACCTTCTTCCCTGGAGGTGGCTCAACAAGACGCCATGTACCTCGCTTCATGAGACTCTCAATCTCCTCTTCCTCGGCTTTCAACCAATGCTCTCTTTCGGGACTTGCCATTGCCTCACGACGACTCAAGGGCTCTCGCGGAAGGTGTGATGCTGCCATGCATATTGCCTCTACCTTCTTGTGAATGCAATTCTCACTCTCCTCACATGTGCACCTTGATGACATGTCAACCATGAAATTGAAGGGTTTTTTTACCTTGCGGACTCGTTTACCTTTACCAAACTCCTCAGTTGGCTGAGACACATTAGTGGTAGGGTTCGGTCTCACAGTGTTTGATTGCGTTGATGCGGTCATTTGCGGCTGAGACAACGGCTGCGACATCGGCTGCGACGGCGGCACGGCTGCTTGTTCTTCTCCTGGCGTGGAAATATCTTGATTATCGGTGTTGACTTGAGGATTAGGTATGGTGACTCGTGGCGGTGAAGCTGAAACGTTTGTCGGCATAGTTGGTTGTGAAGATGCTCATGGTGGGGATCTTGAGACTAGAAGCTTGGGAATTGATGATGACGCTGCCTTGTCGAGAGGTGGTGATGGTTGGGGCTGGTTGGTGTTGTTGCTCGGTGTTGAAGATGGTGGTAACTGATGACGACCGAATCCGGGACGTGGGGGTGAAGTTGAGAAAGGTCTTGGGTGAAGAAGTGGACTGTTGGAGCTGGTGTTGGTGGTGACTCGCTGAAGTGATCCTCGTGCTATGAGCTGGCTTGACGTTGGATAGTGATGAACGTGTGGTATGAGAACGAGGTGTTGCGGTGACGGTTGACTTGTTGCTAGGAAGAGTCGTAGATGGTGTTGATGTAGGTACTTGGGGTCTTGTAGCTGTTGATTGCTGCTGCATGGGATGATGATGAGCTTCTGTAGTTGCCTCTGGAGTGATGGCTGGTGATGGGTTTGATGGCGTAGTGGTGGGCTGATCCGGTTGGCGTTGAAATTGTGAGGTTGGTGTTGATATAGCTGGCTGGTTTGTGACTGTTGGCTGCTGCTCCTTTGGTGGTGATGGAACGGTGACTTGCTGCGGTGGATTGTCTTCATTTGATGGCTGAACTTCATCTCCACTTGGTTGAGTAGCTGCTGGTGGCACTGGCGTGGCACGGTTGGACTCGTTGACGACGGCTTGAGGGAGATCGATGATCGGTCCGCTATGGTCAGAATCGGTGTCATCTTCTTCCTCCTCTTGTGTTGTTTCCTCAGGTGCGCTTGCTGGTTCCTGTTGGATAGAGGGTAGAGAGGAGGAAGAGGAAAACTTATGCCAACCTGCAAGGGACATGTCTTCATAGAAGACAACATCCCTTGAAACCACTTCTCGCTTGGTGACAGGATCCCAAAGGACCCATCCCTTGCTCTCATTGCTCATGCCGATGAAGAGGCCCCAATGAGCTTTGCTGTCCAGCTTGAGTCTCTTTGCATCTGGAACACGGTATTGGGCCATGGAACCAAAAACACGAAGCATAGACAGATCTGGTTTAACTCCAAACCAAGCCTCATATGGCGTTACACCTTCCGGTAAGGGCCTTGTGGGTCTCCTGTTGCGAACATAAATTGCCATAGTGATTGCCTCACCCCACCAGAGCTTGTCAAGGCCTTTGAACTGAAGGAAAGTGGTAGCTATAGCCTGGATAGTGCGATGAAACCTCTCTGCCACTCCATTTTGCTGAGGACTATAGGGACAAGTGAACTGTTGTTTGATGCCCAATGCCAACAACTCCCCCTAAAACGCTTTCCCCATGTACTCACCTCCTCGATCCGACCTCAAGGTGAGTAACTTCTTCCCTGACTCTCTCTCAACAAGTGCTAGCCATTGCTTGAAACACTTGTGAACTTCATCCTTGGTGTTGATGAAAAAGGACCACGAGAAACGACTCTTGTCATCAATGAAAGACACCAAATATCTCTTACCGTTTCGAGTAGGGTCTCGCATGGGGCCGAAGACATCAGTGTGGACCAACTCTAGGAGGTCCCTTGACTGAGACTTAGAAGGGAAGAATGGCTTTCTAGCTAGTTTACCTTCCACACAAGATGGACATGGAACGGAAGAAAGGGACTTGACTGCACTTTCATTCAAACTCAATCCTTCCACGCTCTTGTGATTTACCAACTCTTTCAATGCTTGCACTCCCACGTGCCCCAAGCGTGCATGCCATACCTCAGCTTGGGAGATACTCCCTTTGTTGTTGACTTGATCGGTTGAAACAGCGGGAAGCGAGACAACGTCGTTCTTCGTGTTGCTAGCACCGCGCTTAATCTCCAACTTCATCTTGTAGAGCCGCCCGGTACGCTCGCCTTCAGCCACCAGATTTCCTGCACTGTCCCACACTTTGGCTTTCCCCCCTTGCAAGAGAACGGAGGCACCTTTCTCTTCGAGTTGTCCGGCTGAGAGCAAGTTTGCTCCCAAATCAGGAACAAACAAAGCTTTATTGACACAAAATGACTTACCATCCTTTTCGAACTCAAGCTTGCCGACTCCTTTGATTGGTACTTTGCCAAGATCAGCAAGAGTCACAGCTTTTGAGTCATATGAGGGCTGAAAATCCTTGAGAATGGACTGATAGGGAGTCATGATGAGCTCTGATACCAACTTGTAAAACAGAGTAGCTGTGACTACTGGAGGGCTGGAAACTTGGCTGGAAAGTCTTAGCAGGGCTGCTGGAATTGACTGGATGAGGTAAAACTTCACTATGTTCAAGATTAACAAGCCCACTAAAGCACAACTCTAGGCATCACAAACAAGACAGATTGAAAGCTCAAACTAGGCTGATAGACAATGTAACTTCCCTGGTAACTTGGGCACAATCTAGATTGGATGGACCTTGAGTGACTTTGAGTGCCACATGAGGTGCATGAATAAGAAAACTCTGGATATTTCTGTTATAGCTGATTCTGATGTGTAGAAACCTGTAGAAACTGCCAACACTTCGGTTTGAAGGCAGCTTTGAACTATATCGAGTCTTCGGCTGAAATCTGATTGGTGGTGGAACTTTCGAAGTACTTCCCGAAGCTCTGATTCATCGCCGACATTCCCCCTTGCTGCTGCTTGTGTGCAAAGGGCTGGGGCGGCAGAAACTCGATTCTCCAACAAGGAGCACCACGTGACGAAATCCACACCAAGTAGGAAAAGCTGTGGGGAAAAAAGCATAGAGATTTGAGAGAGGTGAGTTGGTTTGGGATTGGGAAGGGTGGTGGGGTCATGGTGTGGTGTCAGCAGTTGTGGTTGTGTGCTGGCAGGCTTTTTGCGAAGCACTGTTTCCTTGGCGAGAGCTGGCGAATTTCTGCGACTTAAAGCCCGAGTTCTACATGGCAATTTTCAAGTTCAAGATTCCTGAATATGAATTCGCAAAAAACCATGTTACCACCCGAAGTGGAGGATATCCGTCGCGATCCAGAGGGGAGGTTTTGCGACGTTGTTCCATGATTGGCCAGCGACAAAACCAGTCATACCGAACCAGCTACACTTTGACATTTTATTCTGCCACATTCGGGTTAAATTCCTCACTGCCCATTAATGTATTATCCATGATATTCTCAATCCCAATCACTTACTATGTACATATCATAAGTTCTATTTTTATGAACAAGTTTTTATTCCATGGAGCTCTCTACTTGAATTCACCCGCATATACATAATGTCAGAAAATACAGAATCAACTAACTATGGAGAAACAGGGGTCGTCAATGTTGAGGACCTGTCTGCATGGCCTCCATTTCCGCACACCTGGTGCCTCGAACCCAGTTATTGGCCCTGTTCGACAGGCAGGCACCTCCTTGGAGAGCTAGGGTTAGGCTAGAGCTAAGAGGAGTTTTCGAAGTAACTTCTCCTAGGCTACCCCCCCATCCACGAAATCGGAAGCAGCGCCTCCCGAGGTCGTCATGGCGATGTTGCAACCCACCTTCCACCGTCTTCATCGTGGGCAGGGTCTAATTTTTTTCATAGGAATGGCATGGGAACCTGGGTAACTTAAGGGAATAAAAAGGATTGGAGAAGTGGAGAAGTGAGAGTCGTGCGTGGCTGGTGGCTGGTTTGGTTGTGTTAGGAAGGGACTTTTTCAGGGCAGAGATGGGAGAGGCGAGAGCATGGGCACTGGTGGGAAAACTTTCGTAGGGTATGGGGTGGGTATTCCCTCCCGTATGGAACCCTAGCCTAGCCCTTGGCCAACCTCCCTTCTGGGGATTGGAGGGCTGGGCTAGAGCTAGGCTAAAGTCTGTGCGGGAGAGAAGGAGCTGGGAGCTTTCGGGGGGGATGAAGTTGAAGGATTAAAGCCCAAAGCCCGAATTACAAAGTCAAAAGCAAACTGGTGACACTGTGCCTCCCGCACCTTCCTCTGCCGAACCACGTCGAGGGTTCCCCACCTGCTTGGTTACCATGCGTTGGCCTGTGCGAGTTTCGACAAGCCCAGAATGAGTCTTGCAGCACAACCCCTTCGAAAATACGAGCACGCAGGGGGTAGGCTATTAGGAAAGCCCAGAAGCGTGCTTGTAATTCGGGTTTCCAAATCGACGTCAGTCTCTGCCCATGCTCTCCCGCTGTTCCCAATCTCTTTACCGATGAGAGGAAACCCCGCAATCTGTGTATTTTACCCGAGCGCCGCGACAAAGATCGGCGGAAGTGGAAATCGCGCAGACGACATTTCCCCTGCAGAGACAAGGTTATTGGGGGAAATAGTCCCGTGGACGAGCCTTGCGCGGCGTACGGCGGATAGGAGAGGGCGTTAGGCACGCGCAGTAGTGCGTTGTTCCGCGCACGGCGGAACCACGCGCGTTGAGAGATCTATCGGGCGCTGTAGGCAGGGCCGGAGGGATGGTAGCGCGGGGGCGGAGGTCGAAAGGGGGAGGGCGAGGGTTGTTGCCAGCAGACGGCGATAAATCTAACCAGTCCTTACATCTGCTATCCCGAATATCCTGTCTAACCTAGATTGAATAACTCACTCGACAGTGCAGCCGCTCCCTTCATCAAACTTCCCTTGCCCCCCAACAGTCGCAGTGAAATTTGATTCCGACTTGCATGAAGCAAGGTGGCCAGCAGCGCCGTGCTTTCCAATTTCCGCGCTAGCGCGCACCTCCCCACCATCGCAGCGCGATCTCAACTTCTTGAATGTGCTGCTGCCGCGTAAGATCCGCCGGTTGCCCTCCCTTGTTCCCGTCGCTCTCCCTTCCCGTCGCTCTCCCTTCCCGTCGCTCTCCCTTCCCGTCGCTCTCCCTTCCCGTCGCTCTCCCTCTCCCGTCGCTCTCCCTTCCCGTCGCTCTCCCTTCCCGTCGCGCTCCCTTCCCGTCGCGCTCCCTTCCCGTCGCCCCGTGGGCGCCCCTCTGCCTCCCTTCCCGTCGCCTTCCCTTCCCGTCGCCTACCCTTCCCGTCGCCCGAGCTTCTGTTCCGTCGCCGTCCGTTCGTCTCGTCGCCCTCCCTTCCGCTCGTCCGATCCTCTCCCCGTCAATTCTCTCTCCGTCGCCCTCGCTTTCCCCGTCAATTCTCTCTCCGTCGCCATTGCTTTCCCCGTCAATTCTCTCTCCGTCGCCCTTGCTTTCCCCGTCAATTCTCTCCCCGTTGCCCTCGCTTTCCCCGTCGCCCTCGCTTTCCCCGTCGCCCTGCCATCCACTGCTCGTCGACCTCGCCTTCCCTCCCGCCTCCCTTCCCACCTCGCACACGTGTCACCCTACGTTTTCTCCCCCTACTCCCTCTTATCCCTCCCGCTAATAATCGCCTTCCTTCCCCCCCCTTCCCTGCTTTTTCCCATCCCCTTCCCTGCTTTCCCGCATCCCGTGCCCTACTTTCCCCCCTTCCCTGCCCTGCTTCCCCCCATCCCCTTCCCTGCTTCCCCATGTCCATTGCCTTGCTTCTTCCCATCCCCTTCCCTGCTTCCCTACATCCTCACGCCTGCTTCCCCCCATCCCCCTCCCTGCTTCCCCCCATCCCCCTCCCTGCTTCCCCCCATCCCCCTCCCTGCTTCCCCCCATCCCCCTCCCTGCTTCCCCCCATCCCCCTCCCGAACTCCCCCCATCCCCCTCCCTGCTTCCCCCCATCCCGTGCCCTGCTTCCCCCCATCCCGTGCCCTGCTTCCCCCCATCCCCTTCCCATGCTCCCCCCATCCCCTTCCCTCCGCGTCCCCCCATCCTCTTCCCTGCTTCCCCCCATCCCTCTCCCTGCTTCCCCCCATCCCCCTCCCTGCTTCCCCCCATCCCGTTCCCTGCTTCCCCCCATCCCCCTCCCTGCGTCCCCCCATCCTCTTCACTCTCTCCCCTTATCCCAAGCCCGGCTTCCCCCCATCCGCATTTCTGCTTCCCCCCCTCCCCTTCCCTGCTTCCCCATGTCCCCTTCCCTGCTTCCCCCCATCCTCTTACGCGCGTCCCCCCTTCCCCTTCCCTGCTTCCCCATGTCCCCTTCCCTGCTTCCCTCTTACTTGCTTTCCCATGTCCCCTTCCCTGCTTCCCCCCATCCTCTTACTTGCTTCCCCATGTCCGGTTACCTGCTTCCCCCCCTCCCGTTCCCTTCTTCCCCATGTCCCCTCACATGCTTCCCCATGTCCCCTTCCCTGCGTCCCTGCAGTCCATTCAGGCCAATGCACTCCCCCCACCTCCTTCTATCTGCATCCCCTCACATCCCCCTCCCCATCCCCCTCCCCGCCACCAGGCGCGCGCCCTGCTAGCATGCCATCGGTCGCCGCGCTTCCGTGGCACCTCTGTGGCGCGCACATCGCCCTGTGACGCTGGCTACTACACCGCACATCACCGTCAGCTGCTATCCATTGATGGTGGGTGCGTGGGTGGGTGGGTGCGTGGGTGCGTGCGTGCGTGGGTGGGTGGGTGGGTGGGTGGGTGGGTGGGTGGGTGGGTGGGTGGGTGGGTGGGTGGGTGGGTGGGTGGGTGGGTGGGTGGGTGGGTGGGTGGGTGGGTGGGTGGGTGGGTGGGTGGGTGGGTGGGTGGGTGGGTGTGTGCATGTCTATGTGCATGCATGTCCACGTGTATGCTCTGCTATGTGCATGAATATCTACGTGCATGCACATCTATGTGCATGCATGTCTATGCTCATGAATCACGGCATGTGCATGCATGTTTATTAGTGTGCATGTCTATGCCCACTCTTGTCCATGTGCATGCTTTTCCATGTGCATGCTTTTCCATGTGCCTGCTTGTTTGCTTAATCTCACTGCCATGCTTGCCCTCACTGCCATGCTTGCCCTCACTGCCATGCTTGCTGCATCCCTGCAGGGTCTCCTCGCCCGCCACCCCACTTTGCTCTCCCGTCTGCTGCCACTTCTGCCAGTGCGCTCCTCGCTCTTCCTGCTGCCCATTTATTCCCGCCCCGCTACTTACCCTCACCCCGCTGCGTTCAGGACAGAGTCTATTCCCCCTCTGCTTCCCCCCTTCCCCTCCACAGTCTAGTGCACATGGTGGGGGCATGACAGGGTGGGGGGATGCTTCGCTACTTAGGAACATGCACTAGCGATCCGCCTCCCTGCACCATTCCCTACCTCTTCCCCCTCCACTACCCCCCCTTCCCCTTAGTGCTGAATCTCGCATCCCTCCTGCTGCTCCCTCCTCTTTGTCCTCCAGCAATCTCGTGGAACACACTCCAACCCCCTGGCACCCGTCGCACACTCCTCCGTGTACTACCCACTACGCCTCAGATCTCAGCCTGAATCTCATCCTCCATCTACTTGGTGTTAGGTTGGAGGGGATGGTACAAAGAGGAGGGGGAGAGCGCCGAATGTGCGAAGAGCGGAAGGTGAGTGGTACCACATCTCCCATGTACCACCTCCCCCCGGTATCACCTCCCCCAGGTGCCACCTCCCCTAATAACAACAACACCGTAATTGGGATCTCCCGCGCTGATCACCTTCATGCGCCACGTTTTTTCGGTACGGCTCACCTCCTCGTCACATGCACCACGTGCTGCCACCCAACACAATAGCCCCTCTCTCCCTCACGCACACTCTCTCTGCCAGTCCAAACACATGTCGTGCCCAGCCATCATAGCATTGGAGTCAGTACACACCACCACAGCACATGCACCCTAAAACCCTCCTTCCCCTTCCCCTCTCCCTTCACCCCTTTCCTCGCTGTCTCCACACGCCCCCCTCAGTCCACGCACATGTCGCACATGTCCTCTTCAACATCAATTCATCTCCTCGCAGCCTTCGCACACTACTCCGTGTACTACTCCTTGCACCTCATATTGCAGCAGCATCTCTTCCCATGGCAGGTACTGAGTTGGAGGGGATGGTAATTCAGTTTGCTTGGGGGGGAAGAGCATTGAATGTGCGAGAAGGGCCAGGGATGTGGCACAACTATGGCATACGAGTCTGGCGGGTTCTCACACGCCATCACACTGCTGCCCTCGTTGCCCCATTCCAATGTCCTTTTCCCCCTTGAACACCCCCACCCCCCCCTTCCCCCTCCTCCCCACCAGCAGGCGAAGACGGAGGTGGAGGTGTACCTGCTGCTGCTGGACGACCAGCTCGACGCCCTCGAGAGCTTCCCCGAGCTGCTCACCGCCATGCGCACCGCGCTGGGCTGCCGCTGGCACCCGACGAGTACCTGGCGCGGCGGCGCATCATCCCATCGCCCCGGAGCTTCTAGGGGCTAAACAGGGGCAGGAGCAACGCGCGCCCCACGGCCTTCACGGCGGACAGCAGCAGCAACAAGACGCTGTCGTTTGGCAAGGGGCGCGTGATGAGGGTTGGCAGCAGCTCCATGCTCCAATCATTAAAGGATGACACTTCACACCCAGCTCCCAGATTGATTAGCTGAGTTGTAACGCGGCGGACCATGCAATGTATGTGTTGTAAACTTGAATGTTTCAGCCTGTCAATTGACAGTTGGACCCAGTTGTTACGATGTCCAAACCTGAACCCAGTCTTTTTCAATAAGTAGCTGGCCCAGGTATTTAATCAACTCCGAAAAGAACTTTGTGTTAGCTCCGTTTTGATTAGGGCCAGCCTGGCAAACTCATCGAGGCTAACCATAGACCTCTCGTACTAATTACAGGAGACGAAGGTGCTTAAATCTGTTTTCCACTGTATGCACAAGCTGGCCTGCAGTCCATCTTTCCACACAAGTGACACAAGTGAACTGCTGGGTCTGTTTTCCATTGTATGCACAAGTCCATCTTTCCACACAAGTGATGGCAGCTGCAGCAGCCTCGCTGGCAGCCAGTCTCCCTGCTGCCATGAGCGTTACAAAGTCCGCCTGATCTTCGCATGCACTGCCTCCTTTGCCCGCACCTCCCCATTCCCTGCTGCTGCTGCTGATGATGCTGATGATGCTGATGCTGATGCCAACACTGCTGATGCTACTACTGGTGCTCATGCTGGTACTGCTACTGTTTGAAGTTGCTGCTGCCAGTGTTGAAGTTCCTTGTGCAGCGTCAGCGGCGCTGAGGGGAGAGCAGCGCAAGCAGGGACAGCGGGACGGGGATGAGGATGAGGGGTGCCACACGGGCAAGGTGTAGTACAGCGGTGGACGCACACGGGCATAACATCAACATCACGGATGCCGAGAGGCCGAAATAGGAGGGGATGCGACAGCGAGGCCGCAGTGACGTACCGAGCAGGGCGCCCTGCGGACTGGTGAGGATGTGGCGGGGGAGGTCAAGGTGTCGGTACTCGGTGCCGTACGCCAGGATAGCTTGCGAGGTGTCATGCACGCGGACGCTGGCAGGCTGGGCGCCACACAGGCCAGTGTGCCACAATGAGCCCTGTGGCTTCTATGCCGTCAAGCTCCGGCATCTGGCGAGCGGGCGAGGGGAGAGAGAGGACGGGAGGGGAGGCGAGGGGAGGCGAGGGGAGGCAAGTGTGCACGCATGCAATGCCTATCTAGTGTTGACAGCAAAGTGTGGCGATGCGGGGCAGGCCGTAACTGAAGAAAGCAGTGGTGAGATGAAGAAAGCAGGGGTGAGATGAAGAAAGCAGGGGAGAGATGAAGAAAGCAGGGATGAGATAAAGAAAACAGGGGGGAAACTGAAGGAAGCAGGGGGGAGATGAAGAAAGCAGAGGGGAAACTGACGAAAGCAGGGGGAATATAAAGAAAGCAGGGGTGAGATGATGAAAGCAGGGGGGAAACTGAAGAAAGCAGGGGGGAGACGAAGAAAGCAGGGGGGAGATGAAGAAAGCAGGGGGAATATGAAGAAAGCAGGGGTGAGATGAAGAAAGCAGGGGGAATATGAAGAAAGCTGGGGGTACCCTGAAGACAGCAGGGGGAGTTGAGCACGGGGAAAACCGAAGAGAGGAGGGGGGAATCTCAAGGGTGCTGGGGGGAAACTGAAGAGAGCAGGGGGGGAAGAGGAGAGAGAAGGGGCAAATTGAAAAGAGAGCAGGGGGGATTTCACGTTTCACGTTTCTCTTCTTCCTATCGCGCCTCACGTTTCCCCTCCTATCCCCTTCCTCAGCACCTGCGCCTCACGTTTCCCCCACTCTCTTGTACCTCTCACATCCACCTCACGTTTCCCCTCCTCTCTTCTTTCATTCGCATGCGCCTCACGTTTGATCTCCGAGTTTCTTCCTCTCGCGTGCGCCTCGCGTTCCCCCCCCCTCTCTGCTTCCCCTCGCATGAGCCTCACCTTTCCCCTCCTCTTTTCTTACTCTCGCACGCGCCTCACGTTTCCGCTCAACATCTCTCCCCCTCTCATGCGCCTCAAATTTCCCCTCCTCTCTTCCTCCTCTCTCATGCGCCTGACGTTTCCCCTCCTCTCTTCATCCTCTCTCATGCGCCTGACGTTTCCCCCCCTCTCCCCTTCCTCAGGCATGCGCCTCACATTTCCCCTTCTCTCTTCTTCCTCTCTCATGCGTCTGACGTTTCCCCTCCTCTCCTTTTCCTCTCACATGCGCCGTCCGGTTACTCGTCCTCTCGTCCTCCTCTTTACTGCGTCTCACGTTTCCCCTCCTCTCTTCCTCCTCTCTCATGCGCCGGACGTTTCCCCTCCTCTCTTCTTCCTCTCGCATGTGCCTAACTTTTCAAACCCTCTCTTCTTCCTCTCGCATGCACCTCACGTTTCCCCTCCTCTCTTCTTCCTCTCGCGTGAGCCTCGCGTTTCCCCCCCTCACTTCTTCCTCTCGCATGGGCTTCACGTTTCCCCTTGCCTCTTCTTCCTCTCGCATGCGCCCCGCGTTTCCCCCCCCCCCTCTCTCCTTCCCCTCGCATGTGCCTCACGTTTTCCCTCCTCTCTTCTTCCTCTCGCATGCGCCTCACGTTTCCCTCGCCCCCTTCTTCCTCTCGCATGCGCCTCCCGTCATCTCTCCGCCCTCCATCCTCTCACATCCGCGTCTCGTTTCTCTACGTGTTTCATCCTCTCACATGCGCATCTCGTTTTTCCTCCGCGTTTTTTGCCAGAGACATGCGCCTCCCCCTTCCCTGCTTCCGCGCATCTTGCTCTCGCATTTGCGAATACGTTTTCCCTCCGCGTTTCTCGCTTTCCCTGAAGCGCCTCGCGTTTTACCTCCGCGTTTTTTGCTCTCACCTTTGCCTCACGTATTACCTCCGCGTATCTTGCTCTCGCATGCGCGTCTCGCCCTCCCTCCGCGTCTCTTGCTCTCACATTCGACTCACGTTTTCCCTCCGCGTCTCTTGCTCTCACATTCGCCTCACCTTTTCCCTACGCGACTCTTGCGCTCACCTTTGCCCTACGTTTTCCCTACGCGACCCCTGCGCTCACATTCGCCTCACGGTTTCCCTACGCGACTGTTGCTGTCAAATTCGCCTCACGTTTTCCCTACGCGACTCTTGCTCTAACATTCGCCTTACGTTTTCCCTACGCGACGCTTGCTGTCACATTCGCCTCACGTTTTCCCTACGCGACTCTGGCTCTCACATCCCCCAGACGTTTTCCCTACGCGACTCGTGCTCTCACATTCGCATCTATTCTCCCAATTCTAATAGTGGCGTGGCATCTTGAATGCTATGGTGCTCTTTGAGCTATGTTCTTTCCCTAAACGCTCACATTGAGTGAGGGAGTCGTCGTCATGACTGTCGTCGTCGTTCGTTGCGTGGAACCAGATAGGAATTGGAGCGTCGCGGTTTTCCCCTGCTATTCGGCCTGTCGAGTGACTTAGGCTGTGCCCAAAAGTGATGACAGTTTGGTGGCGTGACGGTAATTCAGCAAAGGCATTGACTTTCCAGTTTGGGGCGGTTGCTTGGGGCCCAGTGTTGCGATTCACTTTGCTTTCGCCCATTCTTTTCGCGAACCATTGCGTTCGCTTTTGTTCCGAACCATTCCCCCAACCTCCTCCCGAACTTAGGTTTTACCGAGTTGACCAGCTTTGAGTAATTCGGGGTTTGGCCTTTAAGGTTGCAGGGCGTTAAAGCCCAGTGAAACCAATTTGCGGGCTGACCGTGGGAAAAAAACCCAAGTGGAAACAGCCGTGATGATTCCGCGGAAGGGCTTGCCTGCCTGTCGAACAGGGCCATGCAGCTCCTCCAGCAGGCCATGCACACCACAAGGCGCGCTGATCATACATCGAGCTGGAAACAGCGAGTGTGGAACGACGAAGGTTCGATGGTGGTAAACCTCCCGCAGCATGCGCATGCCCATACGACGCGTGGCAGAGCAGGGTCAGCTGTTGCTTGAGGAGCACGGCGCGGGTGTTCGAGCACCGACCGCAGAGGCTGCTGCTGCTAGCTCGGGGAACGCCTCAACTCACGCAACGGTTTTCCGCCCGCCAGGACTCTCCTTGTATTCGTATCGCGCTCTAGATCTTCTTCTAGCAGCTATAATCCGTGGTTAGCAGGTGCCCGAGTCTCGTCGTCGCTGCCTGCCCTTCCTCGATCCAATCGCACGCTCTCTGATCTTCTGTCCGTGTAAGACCGTTTCGCCAGGAATCCCCGGGTCGTTGGTGTGACCACTCTTTTTCTTTCTTACAAGGCAATTTATTCACATCGACTTTCAGGCTCGCGGATTTGCAGGTGTTCATTCTCCTGCGCTTATTCTCTTTTGGAGACACCATGGCTGGATATGGACCTCTGCGTCTTTTGTGTCGCACAACTGCTGCATCCGCCAGCGCACATGCTGAACCCGGTTTTATTGCTGCCCGCATCGCTGGCATTGCTACGTGGAGGCAGATGACCACTCTCGGGACTCCGGTGAGAGCAGGCCGTGGGGAGGCTTACATTCCGTTGGCCGGAAGGTTTTGTCCACAATTTTCAAAATCTGCTAGTTCAAGAATTCTGTCAGTAGCTGTCAGTTACAGCGTTTGGCAAGTGTTGACATAAGCCCCGGTCGTTTCTTGGTGATCTCTGTGCAATTTGTGTCCAGGGTAGCAAGGAATCGATGAAAGAGGAGCTGAAGAATCGTGCATGGCCAGACAAAGGCACCACGATCCAGGAAGGAGCGGAAGACAAGGCCAAGGCTGCCAAGGAGGCAGGTTATGAGAGAGCGTATGAAGACGCTGCTGAAATTTACAAAGTGAGACTTGACATGTCCAGATCTTTGTCAAAACCTTCATTTACCATGGTGATGATTTTGTGCGGGCATATGTTCACACTGCTTATTTTCTCCGGTTTGCTCCTGACATTTTTCCAGGCGGAAGGTGTGGGTGGGAAGCTGAAGCAGGCAGGGCATATGGTTGCCGATGCAGCAAAGGGTGTGGGTGAGATGGCATCTAAGGTGGCAGACATGGGCAAAGAGGGCATGGGTCGCGCTGCTGAAACTGCTAGGGGACTGGCGGGTGCGGCCCCTCCTAATGCGGAGGAGAGGAGGGAGAAGGTGGATGCTATGGGAAAGAGGACTGTTGAGGGTGTTGCAGATGCTGCTAAGTCTGCTGCTGAAGTGGGCGGACAGAGGGGTGGCTCATAAATTCTAGTGTGATGGACAATAGGGAAGCGGTTCTTTTACATTCTGTGGCTCAGTTCTGTGTACATTTTTTTGCTGAATTGAGCATCACTTGTCAACACCGTTTCCAACTTTTGTACCATTGAATAGCTGTACAATTGTAACTGAAAGGGCTATTGGATTATATGGTGGTATTTGTAAATCGACTATGAACACTGCTGTTTCCAAATAAGCCAGTTGTCGTGACTTGCGACCTCAGTGTGATTCCCCCTGACAAGCACCCTGGATGTGGATGTGGCACCTGGGAGTTCTGCTGTGCTGAAAGTTGAAGACAGGAGGATGAGGATGGATTGAGGAATTCTCACGACAACCGTTCAACCCAAAAATGGTCAGGGGAGGGGGTGGCAAATTGGCAATGCTGCCATGGCCTACACTACACGCACGTTGGAATCGTTGCAGGGCAGCATATGAGGCTGCTTTTCATTTCGGTACAGCACCAGTAGGAAATCCAGTAAAGGCGTGTTCGTCCGTCCTCGCAGTCCGTGAGCTGCAGAAGTTACAGACCTCAAAACATTCTGATGTTTTCGACCCTAGCGCTGCTGACACAAGGTCGCCGGCACCAGCTAGCGTGAGCATGGTTCCTTCACAACCATGCACCGAAACGGCGTGCCACAAACCGAGGGTACTAACGTCACACCGACCACCTCCTTCCACTCTTGTCCGACGCGGGCTGAAAAAACTTTACTCAGCTTCAACCGATGCGCGGAAAAATCAGATTGCTTCCGGTCAGGTAGCGCAAGGTGAAACAACCATCTTCAAAACGTCTAGCCACGCACCGCGTCCACGATATTCCCCTGTCTCGCCCTTTTATCAGTTCGAGACTACAATACGTTTTAAATTCCACTTTGTTCCAGAACTCCGGTCCATATCCGGGCAGAGATGTACAAGACAGTATCTGTTGCTGACATTAGTGAAGCACCCTTTTCTCCCCTCAACACAAGGGTCCAGCCCCCTCCAATCACAAGCCAGCCCCACACAGCCCCACCTACTGGAACCTACTCTGCACGCAGGACATGGCGTTGCTGTTGCGTGCTCGCGTCCGTTTCTTTCGATGTGGCTCCATTGTCGCATTCACCAACTCCTGTCCCCTCCCTCGCCTGTTTTGGGCTTGCACACAGTCTAGCGGCTGGGCCGTCTTCACATTGCATTGATCCACCTCGCCGCGCGTCCGCCCACCTAGGCTAATGATACGCTTTGCCTACGAGAAAACCTCCTCTTACAACCTAGTTATTAGCCTAGCGACCAAAAAGTGGTGCCTTTTCCACTTCTTTCACCGCCATTCCCTGCAAGGGCCCCCATTTCCTCGTCCTCGTCTCTCAATCTGAGATTTACATATGATAAGAGAATTCCCACAGTAGCCGTTCCTTGCCATCAATCGCGGCGGTTCCGCCTAGGTGGCTTTGTGGGCGCTACCGCTAAAAAGATATTTGCGCAGAAATGACAGACCTCGTGCTAGAGCGTGGAATTTCGAGATCCAGTCGCATTTGTCGCAAGGTTGTTGGAGGTGCGTAAGCTTGCCAGGAAAAATCCGTTGTTACTATTGTTCCGAAGATTCGCGAGAAAGGAACGACATACTACTGAGCGTTAAGCATAGATCTACCTGTCATCCGCATAGTCGCAAGGTCGCAGGGCCGCATAGTCGCAGAGTCGCAGAGCATAGTCGCAGACCCGCGGAGCAACCCGCAGCCTGGTGTTTTTCAGGAATTTCCAGTGTTGGCTGGAGCTGAAATTACACTGATAGCTCCCATCCGCACCGCAGCACGACCTCTCGCATCGCAACCATGGCAGCTGTCGCAGAGCCACGTAGTCGCAGCAGCAGCAGCAGCAGCAGCAGCAGGTCCGAAAGAAGCAGGAGCCGAAGAGTCTCGTCATTAGAACACGCAGCCCAAGCAACGATTTGTCGTGCGACCAGTGGCAAGTCTTCCCATCTTCCCCGCGAACCCCGTCTCAATCCCCACTCGCGATACTCCCGGAAACCCAAGACCGGACTCGTCGCTTCGCTGTCGCGCTCGTCGCTGCCGTATCTCCCGCTCGTGCTGCTCCTGCTCGCGAGCTGTCTCGGCGCCATGGCTCCGCGCGGAATGGCATGGGGGGACGCTCCGGATCCGTGCTGCAGCGGCCAGGCGGACGGTTTCCGTCGCCACCCCACTGACTGCAGGTGCGTCGTCGCTCGCCGTCGCTTGCTTGTGTCGCTCGCAGTCGCTTGACCCCGTCGCCTGCTTGTATCGCCCGCTGTCGCGTGTGTCGCTCGCCGTCGCTTGTTTGTTTCGCTCGCGGTCGCATGCTGCGCTCGTCGTTCCTGTTGAAAACTAGTTCACTGGAATTAACCCTGGTCCTCCGGAAGGAGTCGACAAGCAAAACCGCATCTTACGTGCTTACGTGCTGACCCCACCACCCATCCCGCTCACCTCCCTGCCGTCCGCTCACCTCCCTGCCGTATCACGTGCTTTCGTACCCGTTATGAACCACTCTCCACCGTCCGTCTCCCCGCGTCCCGCAGGCGATTCTGCCTGTGCAGCAGCGGCGATTCTCGCGGGCGCGTCTTCTACTGTCCCGAGGGCTATGTCTTCGACGACCGCACCTCCACGTGCGCAAGTACCCACGATGTCGCATGCCCCGGCGCTTCCGTTCCGGCGTCCGGCGCTACTGGCGGCGGTGCATCCGGCGGTGCATCCGGTGGTCCATCCGGCGGTGCATCCGGCGGTGCTTCCGGCGGTGCATCCGGCGACGCTTCGGGCGGTGCGTCCGGCGGTGTTGGCGAGGAGGCGTCGCTTTGCGCGGGGTTGGAGGACGGCCCTCACCAGCACCCCAACGACTGCAGGTGAGGTCCGCGGGAAGTTTTTGAGACGTCTGAAAGACTCTCTTTTATCACGTCGCTGTGCGCGGGGTTGGAGGACGGCCCTCACCAGCACCCCAACGACTGCAGGTAAGCTCCGCGGGGAACATCAACAGGGAGGCCCATGGTTGGGGAGCATCAGGTGAATACCTCGGAAGCCGCTCTTTTCTTATCTTCTTCCTCTCCTCTCTTTCTCCCCCACGCGCCTTCGCCCTCAAATCTCCGTCCGCGCCCCCTCGCCCTTCTCTCCCCGCGTCTCTCCCCGCTCCTCTTGCGTGCCTCCCCCGCGCCTCTCCGCGCGCATCTCTCGTGCAGCCAATCCATTCTGTCCTTACGGGCACAGTAAAGTGCGGCGCGCTCACTTGCCCTCCTCTGACCCGCCGTTCTCCACTCTCTCCTCTCTCCTCCCGCTCTCCTCCCGCTCGCCTCCCTCTCTCCGCCCATCGCCTATTCTCTCCTCTCCCTCCCGTGCAGCCGATCCATCTTTTGTCTGAACGGGCGCGTGAAGAGCACCGTGAGTTGCGGCGCGCGCATGCGATTCAGCGACGACTCCAAGACGTGCGAGTACTCGTTCCTCGTCGACTGCCCCGCCGCCGATGACGCCGCCGTTGCCACGTCGGATTCCACGTCAGCGGCCGCGTGGGGAGCGACCACCGCCGGTTCCTCCGTGCCCGCTGCATCCGTCGCCACGTCATTCGAAGACTCTGGTCGCGGCGGTGCCTATTCTTCCTCCTCCTCTTCCTCCTCCTCGTCCTCATCACAATTATCGTCGTCGAATCTGTTCACTGCTGCAGCGGCCATGGGGGCTGCAAGCGGTGGTCCTTCGGTCTTTGCCCCGGGGCGAAGCAAGGTTCCTGGCAACGCGAACGGGATTAGTAATGGCAATGGCAACGGCGAAAGCAATGGGGTTGGCAACGGGAATGGAGTAAGCAACGGCAATGGGAATGGGAATGGCAACGGGAATGGGGTGGGAAATGGCAACATCGGGGGCAACAGTGGCAGCACAGGCAGTGTAGGCAGTTCGGGCAGTTCGGGCAGTACGTTCTTTTGGGTCAATCCGGGCAGCTCGGTCAGCAAGGGCAACGTGGGTACTGGTGCCAGCACGGGCAGTACGAGCAGCAGCAGTGGGGGTAGCGTGAGTGCGCCTGTGACCTGCTGCACCAGGAAACCCAATGGGTACTGGCAAGACCCTACCAACTGCAGGTGCGTGCGTGTGTTTGTGTGCCTGGCAAGCATTCCCATTGTATGTATATGCTCTTGCATATCGACACACTTGCTTCTTTCTTCCTCTCCTTCCGTCCTTCCCCTACCCCACCTCCACCCGCCCGCCCCCCCTTCTCCCTCTTTCTATTGTTTCTTCGCCACCTCAAACCCCCGAGTATGTATCGCATGCATTGCTTGCATATCCTCATCTTTCCTCCTGTTTTCTGCCACTCTCGCACTCCCCCTCTTCCTCCCATCCCACCCCGCCCCATCCCACCCCACCGCACCCCACCCCACCGCACTCCACACAGCACCTTCTGCATCTGTATGCGCGGCCAGGTGGTGGCGAAACTGCAGTGCCAGCCCCCCCTTCTCTTTAACGACAACGCCAAGGTCTGCGACACCCCTGAAAACGTCCCCTGTGCTGCCACCAGTGGGGGTGGCGATGGGAGTGGCGGCGGGAGTGGTGGTGGCCCTACCCCCTCTCCTCTTACTTCTCCTCCCCCTCCTTCCACGCCCTCTCCCTCTCCTCCTCCCCCTTCCTCTCCCCCTGTCTCGCCCTCTCCCCCGTCCACCTCTCCCTCTCCCCCTTCCTCTCCGTCCCCCCCTCCGCCCTCCCCTCCCACTCCCTCTCCCTCTCCCCCTCTCTCTGCTCCCCCTTCTCCTCCTTCCTCTCCTCCCCCCTCGCCTCCCCCTCCCGGATCATGCTGCGACGGGCGCCCGGACGGATACTTCCAGGACGCTTCCGACTGCAGCCGCTACTGCATCTGCGCGGGGGGGAAGCAGGCCGCGCTGCAGCGGTGCCCTGCAGGGCTGATCTTTAACAACGACGCCAAGGTGTGCGACGGCGCGTACAACACCACTTGCAACGGCATGACGATTGGCGGACCGGACATGGGTGAGTGAGTGGGTTTGTTTCTGGCAGTGGCTTTCTATTTGAGTGCCCAGCAGGGCTGATCTTTAACAACGATGCCAAGGTGTGCGACGGACGCCCGTTCTGTTCTCCTCTTCCTTTTCTTCCTTTCCCATCCTCTTCCCTCCTCTTCCCTCCTCTTCCCTCCTCTTCCCTCCTCTACCCTCCTCTCTCCTCTTCTGCACCGCACACCCTCCACCACCCATTCTCACCATCCACTCCACGCTCTGACCACTCCAAACCATCCCAAACACCCACCAACCGTCCTCTGCTCCATTCACCTTAAGCCACACCCTCCCCGCCCCCCTTACTCCAGAGGCCAAGGTGGGACCCTTTGCAGCCCTCGCGCCTCAACCGCCTCCCTCAACACCCCCCTGTTCCATTTCTCATTTATCCCCTGCTCCATTTCCCGAAACCCCATTCCTCCCACACCCCCCATCCCTCAGAGGACAAGGTGGGAGGCACACAGCCGTTCGCGTCCGACCGCACGCCCTCGCGCCTCAACCGCTACTCGCGCTACTCCTCCCTCTCCACCGCGCTCCCCACCTTCGTCGACTGGCGAGCCTCCGGCGTCCTCTCTCCCATCCGCGACCAGGGCGTGTGCGGGGTTTGCTGGGCCTTCGCCACCACAGCAGCCGTAGAAGCGGCGGTTTCGATTTCCATGGCGAATTCGCGGCTGTTTGCCGGGAGGTATCGTGGTGGGAAGGCGCGGTTGTCTGTTCAGCAGGTGGCGGATTGCACGCAGACCTCGGCTGCTGCTGCGGCGTCGATCGGCGGGTTTAGCTACAACAACGCTGCTGCTGCCGCTGCCGCTGCCGCTGCCGCTGCTGCTGGTACTGGTACTGCAACCACCGCCGCAGACACCACCGCAGGCACAAGCACCACCACTGTTGGTGATACCACTTCTTCTGGTGCTGCCACTGGTGCCGATACTACCTCCACTGGTACAACCTCTGCAGTCAACGGTGCAGATTCATCACCACCACCGCCAGCAGATCCAACGGCTGGTACAGGTTCTGATCCATTGGACAATCTGCTCTCGATCTGCCGGCCCGGGTGGCCAGGGGACGCTCTGGAGTATGTGGCAGCGGTGGGGAGGCTGCAACTGGACAGGCAGTACCCGTTCCTGGGGGAGAACGGTACTGGCGTTTGCTCTGCTCCTGCTCCTGCTGCTCCTAACGGTGCCGCTCCTGGTGGTGCTGCTACTGGTGCTGCTACTGGTGTTGCTCCTGGTGGTGCTAGTGGTGCTCCCGGGGCCGCGCCTGGTGGTGCTGTTACTGCTGCTGGAGCATGGGCAGCATGGGTAAGTGCATTCGTGTTGGGGGTCGTGGAGTGGGAAGGGGTGGGAGGGTGGGAGGGTGGGAGGGAGGGAGGGTGGAAGGGGGTGTCAGGTGGTGGGATTTTTGAAGCTTGTTGCTTGAAACACTTTCGGTGGCGCAGTGCGGTACAAGATGGTGCCGTGGGAGCACGTTCGGAGTTGACAGTAACATCAACCATTCCCCTCCCTCTACTCCTCCGTACCCTTGTGACATGCTCTTGTGATCTCCCTTATTAATTACCCATCGTGCAAGCCGTTGTACCTTTCCCTTCAACACCCTTCAACACACTTGAACACCCTTGCATACCATACAACAGCAATCGCCTGCAGTGGTGCGATACGAGATGGTGCCAGCGAGTGAGGACGTGCTGCTGTCAGCAGTGGATGTGCAGTGCAGCCTTCCCTGTGCCAATGCATTTATTAAGCTTCCTTCTTATGGCATCCTTGTGCTTTATCTGCGTCCCAACAGCAATCGCCTGCGGTGGTGCGGTACGAGATGGTGCCGGCGAGTGAGGACGTGCTGCTGTCAGCAGTGGCGGCGCAACCGGTGATAGTCAACATCCAGTCGCGCGTCCCCTCCTTCCTCTCCTATGCTGGGGTGAGTTGCACGTCTTGACATCTAGTCTCGATGCGCCTCACGTCACGTCTAGCCTAGTTTGTGCCTGCCTTCCTCACTAGTCCGGTGATAGTCAACATTTTGTTTGAGAATTCTCAAAATCAATCTCTTCCTCACTAGTCCGGTGATAGTCAACATCCAGTCGCGCGTGCCCTCCTTCCTCTCCTATGCCGGGGTGCGTCATGCCACTTGTTATACACATCTTTGCATGGTTTTCTCTTCTTCTTCTTTTGTGACTTAAGTATCGCGCGTCCATTCTTCCCTTGCCTACGCGGGAGTGCGAGCGTGCGTGTGTGATGCGCCTTGTTTGAGTTCTGACATCGCCGTGTCCTCGCCGTGTTGAAATCTTGCAGAGTTATGCTTCTTGCAGAGTTATGCTTCTTGCAGAGTTATGCTTCTTGCAGAGTTATGCTTCTTGCAGAGTTATGCTTCTTGCAGAGTTATGCTTCTTGCAGAGTTATGCTTCTTGCAGAGTTATGCTTCTTGCAGAGTTATGCTTCTTGCAGAGTTATGCTTCTTGCAGAGTTATGCTTCTTGCAGAGGTGCAGTTCAAAGCAAGCCAGTTCTCTTGCACGCCGCCCCACTGACAGCGCACCGACACACTTGTCTCTCCTGCAACCCCACCCTCCCTCCTCCTTCCTCTACTTCAACCCCCCCTCCCTCTCCCCACCTACAGGGCGTCTACGCCGATCCTCTATGCGACAACGGGTTGCTAGACCACTCCGTGCTCGTGGTGGGGTTTGGAACAGACCAGGCCACTGGCACGCCCTACTGGATCATTCGCAACAGCTGGGGGGACGCATGGGGAGAGCAGGGATATATGCGCATGGCTCGAGTGGGCGGGAGGGGTACTTGTGGTATCACCAGCATGCCGGGTTTCTACCCTGTTACCACCAGTGAGTTGCTGCTGCTGCCCGCCCTGTGCCCTTTTCTTTGTTACTGCCCGTGGGTTTCTACACTAGTACCAGGTTTTTTTTTTTTTTTTTTTTTTTTTTTTTTTGCACGTAAAGCAGGGTATCGAGCCGGTTAGCAGCAGCAGGTTTGAGACAAGTCCAATTTCTTTGCTACAACCTTGACTGCGGACTTTTGTTTGTATATTAGGGACTTTTGCTTTGCACCCTCATCCCCTTCCGCATGCTCTTATGATTTCCCCCCCCCCCCCCCTTCCTCCCCCATTACCTCCCATCACCCCCCCGTCCCCCCCCCCCATCCCAGGCACATCGCCGTGTGACAATCCCAACCCGTGTGGGGCAGGCGAGTGTGTGGAGGATGTAAGGAGGAAGAACAGAGGCGGGTATCGATGCGCAAGCTGCCCTGATGGCTACGCGGTGGTAGAGAACACAGACAAGTCGCAGACATGCGTGTCCGGTATGTGCTGTGCTGTGCTGTGCTGTGCTGTGCTGTGCTGTGCTGTGCTGTGCTGTGCTGTGCTGTGCTGTGCTGTGCTGCACATGGTGGCTACTTGCTTCCTCTTCTTCTTGCTCTTCTTTCGTTCTTTTTCGGAGGGTTTAGGGGTTATTGAGGAGTGGTTTTTGAGGAAGCGGTGCCGGCGAGTGCGTTGTGTGTTGTGCGTGTTGGCACCGACACAGGTGTGATGTAAGGCTCGAGTCGCCGCAGGAGCCCGACCTTTCCACACACCCCACTTCCCTACTCCCCCATCTCTCCTTCCTCTCCTGCCTCTCCTGCCACTCCTGCCACCAGTTGACGCCTGTTTCTCGTCCACCTTCAACCCGTGCGGTGCGGGCGACTGCACCAACGTGGGAGACGGCACATACACGTGCGACTGCACGGAGAACACATGGCCTGTCATCCGTCCCGATGGCTCCCCCACCTGCACCATGGGTACGCCTCGTCTCTTAACCCAGTTGTTTCGCACCATGTGTTTTGAGTCGACTCAAAACCTGTCATTCGTCCCGATGGCTCCCCCACATGCACCATGGGTTCGCCTCATCTCTTAACCCAGTTGGGAACCTTTCTCTGGGGTGCACTGATGGCTTCTCTGACTTTTGAGTCGACTCAAAAGTCACCTCCCACATGCACCATGGGTACGCCTCGTTTCTTACCCCAGTTGAACCTTCCCCGCTTGCCTCCTCCCTCTCCCTAATGTTCCAACCCTCATTTCCCATAGCTGCTCCTTCCTAGTTCCACTCCCCTTCCTTTCCTGCTCATAATACTATGGTCATGTCATGGTCATGTCACCTTCCTGCAGAATTGCATCCATCCCCCGTCTCCCTCCCCCTCTCCCTGCAGGCCGAAAAGAAGAGGTGCCTATTCACCACCTAGCCCACAAACACAGATGTAGCCGAAAAGAAGAGGCCTTCCAGTCCGTCTCTAGGGTTATTCACCCTTTTCACCCTCTTCCCTATTCACCCTCTTCCCCTTTCTCCCTCCCCCCTCCCCCCAGGCCGGGCGTCTGCCTTCTGCCCGTCCCTCTTCACCACCTCTCCCACCGATACCTGCGCATCGGTCGCCTCTTTCGCCCGGATGTCCGTGGACGATCTTTTAGAAGTCAACCCCGGGCTTATCTGCGACAATCTCAAGGGCGGCCAGCAGCTCTGCATCAGCATGAATTTACCCTGGGCCGCCCGGTGCCTGTATGGAAAGTACACGGTTGTGCGCGGTGACACGTGTGCGGCGATCATCTGGAAGTATTATCGGCGGTCCACACAGCTCTACACCTCTATGAATGGTGGTCCGTGCGTCAACTCGAGGCTTTATGTTGGGATGGTGCTGTGCTTGCCCAGATAAGGTTTGGAGGAGATGGGGGGTGTTGCAGATGGACGTTAGGAGGGATGGGATAACGGGAGGGTGGTCGGTTCTAAACTCAAGGTTTTGATATGCTGGCAGTTTAAAACGGCGACAAGGCAGGAGATACTATTTGTTTGTTCCGCATTCAGCCTGCTAGCACGAGGCTAGTCAATATGATAGCTTGCATCGAGTATAGGGCAAGACCAATGTATTGGGTCTGAGGGAGGTGTGAAATAGCTGCTGTTTGCTTGCTTGTATGTATTGTTATGATATAAAGCAGGTCATGAATATGTGAACTTATCTGGTGTTTCTAACCTTCCATGATTGTTGTAGATCTAAAAGATCCTACTACTACAGCGTACTCTACCCCCACCCTTCTTCCCCCCATCCAGCGCTGCTGCGCATCGCTCCCTTGTGGGCAAAGCCGTCTAATACAGTAACCCATGCCCTGTGGGAGACGACATTTGTACAGAACAAAGAAAGGGCTTGAAAGAACTGCAGCACAAGAAAGTTTGCCGTACAGCACAGAAACGTTACTGTACACCCCGACCAAGCACATCCACAAATTCTCAAGGTGCATCCACCCCCAATCTCTCCGTTTGTCGCTCAAGACTGACCGTTTCAGGTCGGGAAAGCAATCGATTAGGGGTCAAGAGAACTGCCAAAAAGGTTTGGTTCGTTTGGGTACGGTGGTTCGAACACAGCCAAACCAATTTTTTCGTTGCCCTTCCATTGCCCCAGCCTGGAGTGTATTATGGGGCTGCAACGGGCAGCGAAAGGTTTGGTTGGGAAAGGGGCGGAGGTGAAAGGGAAGGTTGGGTGAGGTGGACAAAATAGGAAGGGCGGGCGGGGTGGTGGTGGTGACGTGCTATGGGGTCCTGATTTCAGAGTGTATTTCGTGAGGTGGAGGAGCGTTGACAGGATTCTGCACGGATTGTTCGAGGGTTTTGGTTTGGAGACGTTTGGACGGGCAAGGGCAGAGGACACGTCGAAAGTGCTGGAAGGATGTCATCCTTCCATGTGGAAGGACCGCACCGAGATGGTAGTGACGGTGGGTTCTTGCCCATGTCGGTCTTGCTGATACAAGGATCAACCATTAAAGATCATTCCACGTCTTCGCAACAGCTGACATATCCACAGCCAAGAACGCGCCCTTACCAAAATATTGCGTTTACCAAATCTGCGTTTTGCGGGGTATTCAAAACGCAAAACCCGCAAAACTTTTTGCGGGTACTACTCGTCATGATTTTGGGGTAGCGTTTGTTGTCCAGAGAGCTACACGCTTCTTCACGAATCACGGTGTTGTTTCAGGAAATCCCATGTTGTTGACCTGGCGCTTCTTTCAATTCTACTTTCAAATGCACACTCCTCATCATTGAGGCTCCAACTGCGACGATACCACCGCAACTACATTCTCTTCCTGTGAAGAAGTTTGTGTTTTTCTTGGGAAACACGGTCGACTAGTTCAGAATATTGGTATTCTGTTGTCGTGTTTAAACTGTGTGCTGTTTTCGTGACTGGCACCCATTGCTCTATATCTTGTCCTAGTTTATTTAGGGTAGGTGATTCGTCGAGTATTAGGGTGTATTTCTGTGTCAGGCATGGCTGGTTGTTCTCGGCGGCTGAACTGGGGTTGGGTATTTTGTTCTGTAGCATATTTCGCATCTCGACGATGGAAGAATTTCTTCACCCTAATCACCCTACCAAACAAAATATCCCTACGGAAACTGGTGGCCCACTGGCAGAACCCTGAACAGAAAAAAGTGGCCCAAAATGAAAACCAGAGCCTTCAGCAGCAGCCGCAGACACTACCGTTCTTTCCCAACCAGGCAGCATTTGCACAAATTAGGGCAAGGCTGTGTAGATCGCAAGACCTGACGTGAGATGTGGCTCTAGCGAGATGGCAACGCTCACGTGGTGGTCTGGGTGACGTGAACTTGTGGTTTCTTTTCATCGTCGCCCGCTGGAAGCACGAGTCTTAGGAATCGAGCAGAGATTCTTAGGAATGCAGGAATTGGGCCTGAGCGTAGCAGAACCGTCACAAGGAGAAAGAGCGGAGGTTTTGTGGATTATAGCTAAGTGTGGAGCCACATGGACGAGAATGTGAATAGGTCAATGACGTCGGATCCCGTTTCGATGGGTGTAAACGTAGAACACGAAGGCGGAACGACCCGAAGCGAAACGAACGACGACGGTGACGAAACGACAGTAAAAGGAGGCGCGCATAACTCCGCTCGGAAAACGGATAGCGCAGAGTCGGAACGGGTCGACGGGGAGAGTCGGGAAAGCGAGGCGCGCGACGACGACGGACGCGCGGGATTTGGGAGCGAGGGGTTTGCGGCAATGGCGAGGGGAGGAGATGATTTAGCAGCCGGCGTAGGTGCCGAACTGTTTCCATCAGCCGCTTCGCAGGCACCCGTGACTGATAGTGCAGCGGGGAACGGGACGATAGAAGCTCCCGAGTCCGCTGGAACAGCCCCTCCTGTTGTCGAAACGACGCCATTAGCGCGTACTCCGTCTCCAGCAACCCTGTCAGCATCGAAAGAAGGTTCGGCTGCAACTGCTAATTCTTCCTCCTCCGCCGCCTCCGCCGCCGCCGTCGCTGCTGCTGCTGCGCCATCAAACCCCTTTCTAACAGCTTCACCTTCTCCATCGTCCCCATCATCATCCACGTCAGCGTCCGCCTCGCCTTCCCCCTCCCCTTCCCATTCCCCCATACCTTCGCCGTCCGGCCGCTCCGCCGCATGGATGCCCCGCTCCGCTTCCGCCGCGCCTATCGTCCACTCTACCCCGCCGCTTCCGCGCCCTCCCCCGCCCCACCCGCTCCAGCGGGAAGCTTTCGCGGAGCACCCGGCGGAGGATCCCGAGTCGCCCCCGCCGCCTCCGCCGCTTTACCCCTTCGGCGCGGCGCAAGCGCCGGGCGTGCTGACGTTCGTGTGCGAAACGCCACGTGGCTTCGCGGGGAGACAGGAGGTGAAGGGATGGGACGCGCAGGGGAACGTGCAGCTTGGGCGGTATATGTACTTCCCCAAGGAAACTCCGTGGCATTATGGGTATTTACCCCAAACCTGGTGCGCGCACGACCGAGGAGCTGCGCCCCACAGGCGCAGCGGCGGGGGGGGAGGTGGGGGGAGCTACGGCGGAAGTTTCGGCGGAAGCGGAGACGTTGGTTTAAGCGCTGGTGTGCTGTGGGGTGGGGCAGATCGGATGGTGGAAGGGGAGGGGTACGGCGGGGCCGGCGGTGGAGGAGAGGTGGAGCGAGTCGCAATGATGCGACGGGGGTATAGCGTTGACGGAACTCATTATTCTCTCGCAGACGCGCAGTCAGGCGAGCCGATACCGAGTCGCGGGAAAATCCCGAACCAGAATCAGAGAGAGAACCAGTATCAGCTTCAGTTGCAGCTGCAGCTTCAGCAATTCGGGGGGGTCCCTTCCCCGCGTTACCATCACCTGCCGCAGTCCCCGTCGCAGTCGCAGCACCTGTCGCAATCGCAGTCGCAGCAGTTGCTGCCGCAGTCGCAGTCGCAGTCGTCGTCGCAGCAGTCGTCGTCGCAGGGCCCCGTGTCGCCGCTCGTCGTCGGCTGCCCGTTGGAAGTTTTAGATATCGGCTCCGCGAAACGCAAAGTCGGGGAATCGTACCCGGTGCGCGTGCTCGCAGCGATTTGCGTGATGGAAGGGACACGTCAGCCGAAGCCGTCGTGGAAGATCGTGACGATCGCGGCCACGGATCCGATGGCTGATCTGATGACACGTGTCTCGGAAGTGAGCAAAGGCGGCGGGACGTTAGGGGATGTGCTGAGGGACGTACATCGGGATCTCAAGGCTCTCGTGAACGCGAAAGCAGGTGCGTTGTAACGGCGATTGATGGATGAGGTTGATGAGGTTACAAACGTAAGAACGAAAAAAATGGGATACTAATTCGGTATCGCCTATTTCGGGGCTGAAAAATGCAAAAGGGGAAACTAAAAATAAAAAGCAGAAGCGTAAAGAAGCATTTTTCCCTCGCCTCTTTTCCCCTCTCCGTGAGAGACTCGGGTCGCGGGCTGGGGTATGTTTAGGGGGAAAAGGGCCGGTCTAGCTCGTCCCTATTGTTCCCTGCATTATTATTGGATCAGTACAAGAGAAAGATAAGAACATTAAGGACATAGAGTACACTAAGTTGCCGTGGGAGGAGAATAGTGTAGCAGTTGCTATCTTCTATCTTCCATCCAGGTGAATAAAATGAAAAACAAGCAAACAACAAACAAACAAACTCTATCCGATTTTCCCCTTCCCATCCTCTTCGTCCCCCCAAACCAACTCCCCTTTCCCCCTCTCTCTCTCCCTATCCTTCCGCGTTCTGCCTTTGAGTCGACTCAAAAATACACCTCCCCTTACCCCCTCTCTCTCCCCCTATCCCCCCGCGTTCCGTCACATCCCCACAGACCTCCCGCGCTCACAGGAGCAAGCCATGGGGGTGGACGGAGCAACGAGTATAGTATCCCAAGCGCATGCCAAATGGACTGATTTCCTAGCCACGCGCGAGCGCCTGCTGCAACACCAGTACTCCCTCTCTCTCTCTTCCCCCTCCGCCTCCGCGCCAAGCCTCTCCCCCTCCGCGCTCCCCTCCCCTTCCGCCTCCTCCACTAGCTCTTACTCCGCCTTTTCATCCTTCCGCTCCTCCTCTCTCTCGCTCCGCTCCCCCGCGTCTGTTCTGTTCCCGAGAAGTCAATCTGTTGTGACTGGGGGAGTGCCGACTGTATGGGAAGGGGAGGGAGGGGAGAGGGGTAGTGCATACGTCGCAGGAAGTGGGGGGGGAGGAGGAGCAGGAGCCGTGGGAGGGTCTAGGGAACAGCAGAGTAAGCGCAGGCAGCAACAGCATCGGTTTATTTCCAGTGCGAGCACGAGCAGTAGCAGTGGCAGTGGCAGTGGTGGCAGCAGCAGTAGCAGTGCTGGAAGTCGCCTGGCTGAAGACTTGGCGTTTTCGGGACTAGATTCTGCTGCTGCTGCCGCTGCTGCTGCTGCTGCTGCTGCTGGTGCTGCCGGTGGTGGCAGTGGCAGTGGCGGCGGCCGCGATATGGCTAGTACTGGCCGCAGCATCTCGCAAGGAGCAGCAACAGGCACAGGAGCAGGAGTAGGAGCAACGGGATCGGGATCGGGAACGGGTGACGGGGTGGAATCAGCACAGCCAGAAGACATGCTTGAAGCCTTGCCGCCCGGCATGCGCTTTGCTGCTCTCAGGAGCTTCAGTGGCCCGCTCGTTCCCCATGCAAAGAAACGCAGCAGCCAGCGCGGAGCAGCAGCGGCAGCTGCAGGGCTCGACGAAGCTTCCTCCCTTGGTGCCACTGCTGCAGTGAGCAGCAAAGGCGGCAGCGACAGCGGCAGTGGTAGCGGCAGCGGGAGTGGTGCGAGCAGGGGTAGCGGCTCAAGATCGGGAGGGAGGATCGTGGAGGAGGGTCATGGGCGATCGTGCAGTGTTGATGCTAGTGGTAGCTCTGCTGGTGGTGCTTCTGACAATGCTAGGACGCATGGTGGTGCTTCTTCCAGCAACACTGGTTTGAGGGAAGCCTCTAGGGATGCTTGTAAGGACGATTTGTCCGAGGCAGCTGAATCTCACAGTTCTATCCGTCATTCTGGTAACGGTGTGAGCAGCAGCAGAAGCAGCAGCAGCAGCGGCAGCGGCAGCAGCAGCAGTAGGCATCACCACAGCCGTACCCAGGACAGCAACAGCAGCAGCAACAACGAGAACAGCGGCAGCGGCAGCGGGAGCGGCAACCAGGGAAGCAGCCAAGGCAGCAGCAGCAGCAGCGGCAGCAAGAGCTCTCACGGGATCACCTTTCGCATGCGTGCAGCATCTAAGATGCAAGTGGCTATTTCCTTCCGCTCCCTCCGCTCTCTCTCTCGTCTCACGCTCTCCCCACGGGGAACCACTGCTGCTCCGCCCCCGCCTTCTGTTCGGCCTTCCCCCGCTTCTTTCACTGCACCCATTGCTGCTGCTCCGGCTGCTTCTGCTGCTGCTGGTGCTGCTGGTAGTGCTGGTGCTGCATCTTCTCCTCCCCCTCTCCCTCCTCTCTTCCCTCAGTCCCCAGCCTCTGGAGAAGGCCGGAGGGGAGGAGGAACAGGAGGAGCAGGAGCAGGAGCAGGGACAGGGACAGGAACAGAGGCACTTGCAGCAGCGGGGGAGAAATCCTCTCTCTCCTCCCCTGCCGCCACCTCCTCAATCACTCCCCGCTCGTCCCATCCCGACGGGTACCTCCCTTCCCCCACCACCCCATCCTCCTTCTCCTGCCCTGCCTCCTCGCCTCGCTCCCTCCCAGCCACGTCCCCCATGTCCTGCCGGCGCCGCCACGCGCGCTGGCCTAAGCACTGGGACTCACCGGATGTGGAGAATATTCATAGAGGAGGCGCTGCTACTCGTTCCACCTTGCATTCAGCAGGAGGAGGGGCAGCAGCAGCTGCAGCAGCAGCAGCAACAGCCGCTGCTGCTAGTGGTAGTGGTAATGCTGCTGCCTCTGGTACCGCTGCTGCAGCTGGTGCTGCTGCTGGAGTGGCAGTCGGGTTGTCTCCTAGAGGGTATCCGGCTCCTCTGGGGGGTGGAGCAAGACTGAGGGGAAGCAGTGGGGGAGTAGGAGGGGGAGGTACTCTCACCTCTGGTCTGCATGCGCACTCAGGACAACCGAAGCCATCCCCGTTGTCCCCTTCTGCGGTTGCGGGGAGCGGGATGAGAGCGCCCGGAGAGAAGCTTGATTCTCCCCAAGCCATGTCTCCGCTGGGGTTTTCATTCAGCAGTGTCCCGGTTGCTTCTCGCAGTTTGGAAGGCAAGGCGGGTGCTTTCACATCTTCCCATATAGCAGCAGCAGCAGCAGCACCAGTGCCAACAGCAGCAGCAGCTGCAGCAGCCAATGGAAACAGCTCCAGCTCTCCAACCGTTATTGCAGCAGCAGCACCAGCAGCTGCATTGGCGCCAATCCAAACAGCAGCAGGCATGGTGGGGCGAGTGGGAGGCCGGGCGAATTTGCCTCCTGCCCCGACCTCTCCCCTTGCCCTCCACCGCCCCCCTGCTCTCACCATACAACCCGGTGGGGAGGTGTAATACAGAGCTCTGCAGGGGTGGAATGCGGTTTAGGACGGACTTGCAGAGGACTGAAGTGGCAAAGCAGGCACCCTGCCCTGGTGCAGGACTTTGCCCAGGCGAGTCACGGCCTGCAACACAAACAGAAGTCATGGGTTGGGTTGGGTGAGGTATGGTACAGTCAAGTACCAACAGCAGGGCTGTATTGGAGGGTTTGTACAAGACTTCTCAACCAGACCAGACAGACACCCCAGTGCTGGATTTGTGTAAGCTTTCATGGCTTCTCTTGTTGAACTCTTGTCTTCTCATTTTGCCACTCTCCCTCCCCCTTGCTGCCCCTCTTTTTCGCGCCTTTGTTTTGTAGCTGTATCGCCACAACACTAGGTATCCCAGCCACTTTCCACGCATGTGTTCTTTTCCGGTACTCTCATTTCGTGCTCCTTTTTACAGTGAGCACAGTCTCTAAAATTTAGAGTCAGGTCAGGTGGGCCTGTATTGTGTATGAACCATACATGAGTTGTGTGTGTGCAATCATAATTAATTAACTTCGACAGGTTCGGTATAGCTATGTTGAGTAATCATTGCCGTATTATCAATCATTCCACCACCTCTGGAGAGAACGTACGGTATGTTGCAAGACACAACACATGCTACTACTGCAAATGCTAGGTTGGAAGTTTATGACACGGCAGAGGCAGACTCAGAGTCATGGAGTGTGATGAGGATATTCAGCATCAGACATCCGTGTAGAAAAATACATGGCGAGAAATGTATCCAGCACAAGATTATGAGTAAAAATCAAGTTGCTTGGTACAAGACCCCTACTTGAGCTTTCCCCGCAGCTTCACCCCCAAAACTCTCTCCATCTTCCCCAAAATCTGTGGGTTAGGTATGGCCTTCCCACACTCGTACTCTTGGACAACTTGAGGTTTCTGCAAGTAACAAGAAACAAAAAGGCACTTGAGAAAGCGAACGGATGAAATTTTACGAGAAAAAGCATTCACACGTCCTACAATATGTCAACTCAGCTCAAAGCCGATCTGTTTGATCTAAACAAGAAATCTCGCCATCCTGTCGACAACATCAACGCCAGCGATCATAACTCTCGATTTCAAACTCCGTGTCGTTAAATCAACCAGGACGTTACCTCGTTAATCTTCTGCGCCAACTGGGCCTGCGTGAGCTTGGCGTCCAGTCTGGCCTTTTGAATCGCCGTCTTAACGTCTACCGACACCTTCTCGTGCGCCAGGACGTCCGTCTCCTCAGCGAGCTTCCGGGAGTGCATCGCAGGATTCGCAGCACCAGACTTATTCGTTCCTGCATCGTACTTCTTAACAGACTCTATAGCCGCTCCTTGCCGCCTCGCCGCGTTCACAAGTTTCGGATCCTTGGTGTCGGCGGCTTTCTGTGGTCGTTTGTGGATGACGACTGGATCCCAGTCTTGTGAAATCCCACCAGGGCCACGGTTCGGCATGATTGATAGCGGCGTTGAGACACGAAAACTTGGGTGAGAAGGAGACGATATAGGGTAGGAGTCGGGAGTCGCTAACACGAAGACACACGGACACAGATGGAGAGAAAATACAAGCCGGATTTCAACAAGATAGGTGACTTCTGCTGCAAGAAGAGATGGATTCTTCTAACACAAGGCACCGAATTCGCCGAGGGGAGGAGGGTTGGCAAATCGGGAGATAAGGAAAGCTCTTGATGCATAAATGTGGTGTGGTGTGGGGGTGTCTCGTGGTGTGCTGAAAGAGTTCTTGGGGTTGACAGACAGGGTGAGGGGGAATGGGTGGGGAGAGCGGCGCGGGGAGGGATGGGGGGAAGGATGTGTGAGGTGTGCGGGGAAAGAGACTGGCGGAGTAACAAACTTGGAAGAAGGGAGCGCAGAAGGAATGTCAGAACCGGCCGAAGCAACCGCTTCCGCCAATGGCCTTTTCATGTCCGCCAGCATGGCGTGAGCGCAGCCTTGAGATTCCCAAGAAAGGGCGCGAACCTCCAAGCTTCTTGTGGACTCCATCCTTTCGCCAGCCTCCTTGATCACTCACTTCAGCTGTAACACCAGCGAACTTTCGCAACTGGGTCAAGGACAACCACAAAAGCAACACGGGATGACGTGGAACCGACGGCTTCCGTGAATGGACCCCCCCACAGCAATCTGGTAGCTTCCCCAACTCTCAATGGTGAGGAAACAATGATCCGTGAGGGTTCGGGGTTTAGAGGATACAGATGTTACGAGTACTTTTTGGTGAGTGAGCATGGTGGAAAAAAGAAAAAGGTTATGGTCACGCATAAACTTCCTATCCAATGCGTTGGTAAATGGAATGTATCACGGCTAATAACGGTTGTATTAAACGATGTTTTTATACATTGTTAGAGCGCCTTCCAATTATCTTAACTAGTGTACAGCTCCGTGGCCGATGCATTGTTGAATGTACCACACATTTCTTCCACCATTGGCTTCCAAATCCTCACACGTGCATTGATAAACCAATTTGAGACCTGCATTAACCCAGACAACACCAAAATCGTAAGACACATGGCCAGTAGACGCATAGAAATGCTTGCCATTCCCTTCTCACCCCACACGCACATCTCCGTATAGCTCACCCAAATAATGTACTGTAAACCCCACTAACACAACCAATCATCCCTCACCTGTGCCCTAGTAAGTTGTGTTGCCTTAGCAAGCTCGTCCTTATCCTCGTCTGTTGGGTACCTGAAACACACACACACACACAGGTTTGAAAATGGAAGGTGTATGCCAATGGTTTACAAGAGGAATAGCGTGCATTATGCACTGCAGAACAGAGTGTATTGCAGCGGTTTGCAGGAGACTTTGGCACTGCCATAACACATAAATAGAATGCCCCGAGTACGTTACGACGTATAATTGGTGCAGAGAGTAAGTGTTTGGGCACAAGCCGACATGGGTAAAACTGGGTGACAGAGAAAACAAAACTTAAAAGTTGATGTGAGTGAGCATGTTGCTGACACATGCAAGTAGACATACCATAATCACATGAATTCCGGAATCAGCAGTGACCCATGATGCCCCTATGCCCACGTGCACTAATGGCCCCATGCCCCCATGCACTCATGCGCTCATGCTCCCACACTCTCATGCGGCCATGCATAATCCCATCACTCACGGGCTGAGGAAATGCTCAAAGAGCCAGGCTCGCAGAATGGCTGTCGTTTCATCTGGCAAACACCGCTGCTGCTGCTGCTGCTGCTGCTGCTGCTGCTGCTGCTGATGCCACTCATGCTCTCCTTGGCTTCCCTTCACCTGTACTTCCTCCATCTTGACTTCCAATGGAAAGAGGGACGTAGAAGCACCCACGTGAGCCGCCCACTCCTGCTTCTGTTGCGTCTCTCCTGCTCTACCTGCTCTTTTCTTGCGCTGTGCTGCCATCGCAGCTCCTGCTGCTGTGTGCTCTGGCCGCTCCCTCCTCTGCAAGGAAGGTGGAAGATGGGATATGATGCAAGGGAGGTATGAAGGGAAAAAGGGAGGGAGGGAGGGAGGAAGGGAGGGAGAGAGGGTGACATGTTGAGGGAGAGAAGGAGAGGGAGAGAAGGAGAGGGAGAGAAGGAGAGGGAGAGAAGGAGAGGGAGAGAAGGAGAGGGAGAGAAGGAGAGGGAGAGAAGGAGAGGGAGAGTAAAGAGATGGAGCACGCATTGGTGAATAACATGCTTGCGTGTGAGATAGGTGGGTCTGAAGCTCTGAAACGAAACGGCAATCATACCTGATGCCATGTTGTCATGTCTCTCACGCACACATGTTCACAGGTCGTGTAATTCTCACCATATGCTGCTCAATGCCCATGGTCGCTTCTTGAAAGCTTCTGCTCACGACCGCCAGGGGCAGAGATGAGTAGAAATTGGCCGTGCCATTGTTGGCAGCAGTGGCGAGGCGGGAGCGGAGGGAGGAGAGAGAGGCGGCGTAGGCATGAAGAGCGTCAAGTAACTGTTGAAAGGGGTTGGGATGGGTTGGGAGTGAGAGGGGTTGAGTTTTGAGTCGTCTCAAAAAGGGACCGAGGCGCAGCGAGAGCGGAGGGAGGAAAGAGATATGGCAGAGAAATGGAGAGGATTTTGCAGCTGTAGAAGGAGAGGAGGCATTAAGCAACGGTTGAAAGGGATTGGGTAGGAGCGAGAGGGACTGCGAAAGGGATAGACTGGGATACACGGGGGTGATTTCAGAAGAAGTAATCTCACCTCCTTAGCCACACTGCAAGTTCCATTCCTGCAGTGTCCTCCTTCCCATCGTTTTATCTCCTCCCCTCCTCCCACCTTCTCTCCTCCCTCCTTCTCTCCTCCCTCCTGCGTTTCTCTCACCTCCCTTCCCCCCCATCCACGAACAGCACCCCTGTTACAGTCACAGTCACCCCACAGCACCGCACTGTCTCGCAAAGACACCAGCTGCTGCCAGCGTTCTTCAAAGTCAGATTCACACCCGATACTGTCACACGCCACATGCGCTCCTGCTGCTGCTGCTTCTGCTGCTTCTGATTCTGTTGCTGTTCCACCCACTGCCGCTGCCTCTCCAACTGCTCGTTTCCCTGCATTGCTTCTCCAGCCACCGTTACTACACCCCTCCTTTCGACCTGCTGTCCCCTCCCACTCCATTCTCTCCTCTTCACACTCACCTGACTCGTCCCTTCCCTTCTCTCCCCGTTCTGCCTCCTCCCCATCCTCGTCCATTCTCCCCCCCTCCTCACCCCCCTCCTGCCCCCTCACGTTTACATCGCACTTATCCGTCCTCGCTCCCCCTTCTCCCACCTTCCGATTCACCTCTTTCTGACAAGCCTCTAACTCACCTTCTCTCCACTGCCCTTCCTCCCCATTCTTCCCCTCACCCTCCATACCGCCCACACCCCCCACTTTCACGGCTCGAACCATCCCACCTCCAGCACCGTATAGAGGAAGCAGATGAGACTTCTGATTCGCCTCCACACCAGCACGCACCACACCATCCCCACTGCTCTCCAGTGGTATCAGCACTGGTGGTAGCAGTGATGGCAGCACCAGTGGCACCGGCTTTTCATTCACCAGGGAAGCTAAGTCACTCTCATGCCTAAGGAGCGTCTCTCTAGTGACGTCCCCAGCTTCGCTAGCCAAGGGTGGGTGCAGCAGCTGAGAGTGAGGCATCTCAATATCCGGAAAAGAGCTTGGGTGAATCAGCAAGTGGGACATGTGTAAGGCCTCTGTACCGGTGCTAAGTGTTGGGTTCGGAGGGGAGTGCGAGAGCGATGGGAGGGAGGAGGGATGCTGGGAAGAGAGGGTGAGAGGAGAGAGGGGGTGGGAGGGAGGGGAGGCGAGGTAGGGGAATAAGAGTGGGGAGGGCAGTGGAGGGGAGAGGAGGGGAGGGGAGAGCAGCGGAGGGGATGATTCGAATGGAGAGTGCAGGGGCGTGATTGTGTGGGAGTGGGAGTATGAATGATGCACGCCGGCAAGAGAGGTAAGGGAGCTTGGGGTAGGTGAATGGTGAAGGGGGGGATCGTGAAAGGTGGAACGGAGAAAGGGTGAATGGAAGAAAGGCGTATCTTGAAAGGGCTTGTAATCAGCCTTTTCTGCATTGAGAGAATATGATGGGAGCGATGAGAGAGGGTCAGGGGAATTGGCCGGATGCTGCATGCGGTTGAATGATGGAGGCTCAGGTGCCTTTGCAGGTGCCGATTCAGGTGTTTTTTCAGGTAAATCTGGCTCTACTGCTGCACAAGGTGGCTGGGGATTTCCACCAGTCTGAGTGAGCTCCGCACCCATTGGCTGCTTCCCAGGACACGTGTCACCCCCTCCAGTCCCTGCCACGTCATCCCCATCGCCACGTGTATGCATGTGCATATCTTGATCAGTCAACGCACTCGTATGTTCAGACTTGGGACGTTGATCTCTGGGGAGGCAGTCACTCGTATCGGTAGCAGGAGCAGCAGCGGCAGCCGCAGCGGCAGCAGCAGCAGTGGTACCCAGTGGCCCTGGGCATACCTGTATCAGTAGGTCCATACACGCGGATAGCAGCAGGCTGTGGTTGGTAGATAGAGAGAGCGGAGAGAGAGGAGGGAGGGTTGAGACTGGAGAGAGCCGGGAATGCTGAGAGGGCTGGGAGGGCGGGGAAGGCGAAGAGGGTGGAGAGGGTGGAGAGGGTGGAGAGCGAGGGGAGGGAGTGGAGAGAGGAACAGGAGCAACGGCTGCTGCTTTTGATTCCTCCTGCTGCTCCGTATCCTCTTCCTCCTCTTCTTCCTCATCCTCCTCCCCTCCTTCCTCCTCCTCCTCCTCCTCTTCCTCTCCCCCCTCTTCCCACCACATGCCGGCATCCCTATTCTCCTTGATGCTGCCACTAGCTTCCCAACCATCAGTGCACGCATTCACAGAAGCCGCAGGAGTATCAGAAGCATTCGCAGCAGCAGCAGAAGCAGCAGCATCGCCCTTTCCCCTACCACTGGCAATCCCACAGCTGTTCCCAAGACCATCACCACCCGAATGGCAGTCCCTAAGCATCTGCTGCAGCGTTTCCTCATGCTCATATTGATTGCTGGGGGGATACTCAACCTCGTGAGTATGTGGGTAGGTGGGGTCATGGTTGTGTGGGTAAAAAGGATCATGGGTAGCATGGTTATCATGGTGATGGTTATGTTGATAATGAGGGGGATGGTAGCTGCATTCGCCCTCATTCTCCCCCATCACCATCTTCATCATCATCCCTGCTGACAGCCGTCCCATCTGCTCCTCTAGGTCTCTTTCTCCAAACCACCCGTCTTCGCGGCCAGCAGGAGCAGCACCATCCTCTACTGCCCCAACAGCATCACCATCACCATAACCATCATCTCCATCAGCAGCAGCAGTAGCAGCAGTAACAGCAGCAGTAGCACCGCCACCGCCACCAGCACCAGCACCAGCACCACCAGCACCACCACCAGCACCACTACCATTGCCGTCAGTTCTAGTTGCCCCTAACATCTCAACACGCACCCTACTCCTCCGCCTCTCCCTCTCACCGCTGCTGCTACCCCTCCCTTCTCCACCACCCCTCCTCAACCGCTCCCTCCTCTCCCACGCACGCCACTTGCGCTTCTCTCGCCCCCCTCCTTCCCCACCCTCCCCCGGATTCGATTTCGATTCTATCTTGCCCGTCCTCTCATCTGCACCTCGCTGCTCCCCCTGCCGCGGCTGCGACTGCTGCTGCGGCTGCTGCTTCTCCACCTGCGGCAGCGACTGCTGCTGCTGTTCCTTGTCCGACGCTTCACTGATGCCAGCAACACGATCAGGGTCGTCACGCAACGGCGTCGCATCCCCCATGAGTAACAAGTCACTCCATGGCGTTTCGGGAAGCATGATGCCGCTGCTACTGCCAGTCCCACCAGAACCCAAGTCTCCAGGCCCTCCAAGCCTCACACGGCCAGCACCCCTTTGAGTGAAGCTACTCCTAGGAGTCCTACATTCAAAGCCGTCAGCCCTTCCGGACACCAGGCCACCACCAACCCTTCCATCGCGCATCTCCATATCCGAATCCAGGAAGCCCCAATCCTCGCTGTGCCAGTTCGGTATAGAGTGATCCGTTATAAGGAATCCAGCGTGGATTCCTCCATGGGTCGTAATGGTAACAGTACTAGCAACCTCTGCCGCTTCCGCAGCATCCGGAGCAACCGGAGCAATCTGAGCCGCCGAAACCGCCACATCCTCGTTAACACTAGCGCCCGAGACATCGCCGTCGTTATTCTCTTGCGGCCGCGGCCGCCGCGGCGGCACTCGCGGTGGCGCTTGCGGCTCGACAAGTCCCGGCGTATAAGAACCGAAGGTACCACTACTACCATGGTAATGAATACTATTCATAAGCGGGTCCGCAGCGGAAGTGGCGGAAGGCGGAGGGTCGGTAGCGTCACACTGGCGCGTTCCGCGTAGCCGCTGCTTCAGTCGACCAAACGACTTCGTCCTCGTTACAAGCACGTCGCGCTCCATGTTTTGGTTGAGGAACCGGTCGCCTTCTAGCTTCTACTAGTAATGTTACACGCAGCAACTGTGCCTGACGCTCAGTTTTAGAAGAAACGCTTTGGTGATCTCGAAGATATCCTGAGTAGCTGGTACAATCACGGCATGTCGTACGGAAAATCCAGAGCACGCTTTGCTGGTTACGCTCCGCCCCAAACTTAAATACCTCGAAGCAACTAGCAGCCTTGACAGGAGAGTGCGGAAGAACCAGAGTTGCCGTCTCATCTGCCACACCTCGCCCCTGCCCGTGCTCAGACCAGACAGGCAATTTTTCGCCAGCTCAGGAAGTGAGGTGAGTGCGTGCGTGGGGAGATGTGTGCTTGGATTGGACTGGGGGAGGGGAAGCGGAGAAGAGGGGTGATGTCCTGTTTTGAAGGGAACCAGAGAAATGTGTGAAATCGGACCGCATTCTGATGCACATTTCTGAATTACATGCGACGCCAGCCGCGCCACTAGCGCGATTTGACGTGACATGACAGAACGGGTTGCGTGCGGCTCGGAAGGTGGTGAGGTGACGAATTGACAGGACAAGACGAATGTACACGCAGAACTGCTAAGCGTGAGGAAAATTGCCTAAGAATAATGCTACTCAAATAAACATATACTCTAGAGCTTGTGCTAATCTGGTTCACATAAAGAATATAATTTCGTATTTAGACTTCTCGTGGAGAGTCCTTGCCCCCTGTAACAGTAAGGAGCGGTCTGTCATCCGCGTGATCCTCGGAAGCCGCTAAGTCCTTCAAGTCCTCAGCTGATGCAGCTGCACGCATCGTCATCTTGTTCCATTCGTTTTCTACTCTGAAAAATACCCACTGAAACCGCCGGGCCATCTCCAGCGCTGTCACCACAAAGGTTGTGGCGAGGTTGTTGCGAAGGTGGGACGAAAGCTTGTATGTCCAGGAGATGCGAAGAACAAGGTTGGAGCACATAACCCAGTAGTATACCTGCCAAGCGAATCGTAGCACGTTTTAGGACAATGAAATGCGAATCACAACTATGCACCGCCGTCATTACCCAGGATTTTTGTGGCAACAAACGCATGTGGTGGGAGTTTTCCGAAACAATGGAAACAGGTGGGAAGGGATTAACACACGAAGGCTTCATGCATAAAGTGCTTACCCATCTTTGTGGAAAGTAGAGGTTGTTGCGGAGGAGAGGGTTTCGCGAGTTGCAGTTACCAGAGAAGCACCTGGAGAGTGCACAGGGGGTTGAAGTATGAGTGAGAGGCAGGTGAGATAGGGAAAGGGGTGGGTGAACAAGAAATAGGAGCAGCAAGAGAACCTCACAATCTCTTGATATATCCCAATAAAATGAATAGCAGTAATGACAGCAAGCAAGAGGTTATGGCGTGCCTCCCAGAGATAGGAACAGCAAGAGAACATACCCAAAATCCCAATCCCTTGATATATCCCAGTAGTAGGAGTAGCATGAGTTGACCACAGAGGCCATGAGCCAGAGCGGGCGGTACACCGCTCTCCACCGCTCTACAGGCACATGGTACTTGGTGGCTGATAGTACGATCACCGGGAATGCTGTTGAATACTTGAGAGCTGCAGGGCGAAGCAGGTAACAGAAGGAAAGGATTTTGAGTTGACCAAACAAATGGTACTTGGTGGCTGGGAATGCTGTCGAAGAGCTGCAGGGCGAATCATGTAGCAGAAGGAAAGGTTCCCTCAGACGGCAAGGGAGGGAGGGCGGGTGGGAGGATTGGTGGAACACCCCCTTTTGGTACCGAGAACGTTATCCCAAGGAATGCTGTTGACCCAAAACAGAAGGGACGCACCATTGAGCAAGTAGCACTTGTCCTGGGTGTCGTAGTACTGGTGCAGGCACTGGAAGAAGCGACATTGAAGGGGCCTCAAACGACAGCATGCATGCATGCATACACACGTGCACACATGCGCACACGCAAACATACACACGTGCACACATGCAAACATACACACGTGCACACATGCGCACATGCAAACATACACACGTGCACACATGCGCACATGCAAACATGCACGCGTGCACACATGCACACATGCAAACATGCACGCATGCATGCAAACGCACAAACGCACCATTCAGTAGACAGGACTTGTCGCGGGTGTCGGAATACTGGCGCAGGCACTGGAAGAAGCGGCAGGCGTAGGGGAAGGCGAGCACGATGGGGATCATGAGGGAGTGGCTGCCGCACACGTCCCCTGCGTCCATCCATGCTATACTCGCCACCTGGTGGGGAGCAGCAGGAGGACATTGGAATAGTTTTGGGGAGGTGGTTGGGAGGAGGTGGTTGGGAGGAGGTGGGGACAATTAGGTGGAGGCAAAAAGGGGACTTTGAGTGTCGTAGCTCAAGGTCAGGCAGGCGGAAACGCAGACAGGCAAACAAACAGACAGTCCGGCTGACAGACAGAGGGACGCACCTGGCCATGGGACATGCGGCAGATAGACCGCTCCACATCAGACAACACCTGCAAGAGGCACAAGGCACGAGGCGAGGCGGGTCAGCACAGGAGAAACACAGGGTTGGACGGTTTAGGGTACAACGCTCTAGGCCTGACAGGTGAGAGGGGCTGGTTTGAGATCCTGGATTCAAGTTCTTGGGATTTGAAATCCTTGGGGGACTTTTGAGTCGTCTCCGAAGGCTCCCCAGGCTTAGTCGGCGCATGAGAGATGGTAGTTTGAGAGCCTGGATTTGAGCACTTGGGGTTTGATAACTTAAATCTGGGGCTGTAAGAAGCTCCAGAGCAAATGGATGACACGAGGTGGTGCGGGGTAGTGGAGGAAAAGGGTAGGGGCCTGGATGGGAAAGGGATGGGGTAAGGATTGCAAAGATGAATGGAGGGGATGGGGTAGGTGACAGAAAACGGATGGGTTAGAGGGATGGGGTTGGGGATGCGAAAGGGGGCGGAATACAGGCTGAGGTAGAGCATAACATGGTATGGCACATCACAGCAAGGCACAACGGGCACCCGTTCATCATAATGCATACAATGACATACCTTGGCCATGGAGGAGAGCACATTGCGGCATGGCACATCACACCAGGGCATGGCACATCACAACACAGCGGAACGGGGGAGCCCTATGCAGGAAGGATGCTGCATGATGCATGATGCACGATGCATGATGCATGCAATGCATGCGATGCATGCGATGCATACCTTGGCCATGGAGGTGAGCACATCAGCCACAAAGAAATCCGCAAACGTGATTGGCTGCAGTGGGAGTGGGAATGAGGGGGGTGGGGGCGGGGGGGTTGGACAGACGCGGTGAAACGCATGGAGAGGACGAGAGGGGAGGTTAGAGCAAGCTCACGGTGACATGGTCAGGTCAAGGCAGGGACAAAGACCGAGCGAAGCGTGGGTTATTGAAGCATGAGTGATGTGTAGGGCAGGGGTGAGGGAAGCATGGAGGAGGGGACATTGATGGGAGAAACTGGTGCAAAGAAAAGTGAAGAAAGACGAGAGGAGAGGAGAGGCAAGGAGAGGTGAGGAGAGGTGAGGAGAGCTGGGGAGAGGTGAGGAGAGGTGAGAAGAGGGCGTTAGTGCACTGGTGAAGGAAGATGGAGGAGAGGAGAAGGGAGAAAGGGAGAGGGGTGGGGCAGATACAGGCCAGGTCAGCACGGACGAATGAAGGGACTGATTGGATGGAACGACCGTGGGAAAAGAGCACCACACAAAGTAAAGATTATGGCTTCAGCCGCCTCTCTGTCCCCTTCCCGTACTCCACCACAACTCCCTCACTCGCTCTCCATTCTTCTCTCCACCTCTATTCTTCCCCTCGCTCCCCCACCCTCTCCTTCTCCCCCCTTCCCCCTCCCACCCTCCAACCCTCCTCCCTTCATCCCTCCTTCCCTTGCCTCCCACTCTTCCTCCCTCCGCCCCCCCCTTCATTGCAGTTTCTTAGTTTCTTACTTGCAGGGGGAAGGTGAGTCGAAAGAGAGTGGTTAGGAAGTAGACGCGAGAGGGGGCGTAGAGAACATCAAAGGGCAGGGCGAGGGTGAGGGGTAGAGAACAGTACATCAGTACCTGGAACAAGGGGCATGGGGCATGGGGCATGGGGAATCAGGCATGGGGAATGGGGCACGGGAGATGGGGCGTGGGATATTGGGCATGGGGCATGAGGGTATGGAGCATGGGGCATGAGGCATGGGGCAAAGGGCATGGGGCATAGGGCATGGGGCATGAGGCATGGGGCATAGGGCATGGGGCATAGGGCATGGAGCATGGGGCATGGGGCAAGGGGCATGGAGCAAGGGGCATTGGGCAAGGGGCATTGGGCACTGGGCATGGATCAAGAGGCAAGGGTATGGGGCATGGGGCACGGGTATCGGAGTAGAAAAAGGGGGTGCAGAGAGATAAGCAAATGGGGAGAGGACGACCACACAGGGACCACGGAATGGAAGGGTGGAGGAGAGGGGTGGGTGGAGGAGAGGAGTGGGTGGGGGAGACGGGTATAATTGACCAGAGTAGTTTGAACAAGGAAGCTAAACCCATTCGTCCACTCATACCACAGTAGGCAGCACACATGTGGCTTTTATGAGGTAAGCAGCATGCTGCTCATGCCATTCCAGCAATCCCTCCCTCCCAACCATGCCAACCAACCATCCCACACCCCCAACGCCAGCCCAGCATGCCCGTACAGGTTGTGTTGCAGCAAGGTTGATGAGACCGTGGGAGAAGAGGAACATGTAGGCTGTCATGGAAGAGAGCACTGCCAGGGAGAGCGCTGCTGACACCTGGGAGGGGGAGGAGAGTTGGGGGGGTTGGGGGGAATGGGATGCGGAGGAGGGAAAGGAAAGGTGAAGGGTGGAGAGAGAGGAAAGGTGAAGGGTGTGAGGAAAAGGCGAAGTGGGTGGTGGGGGAGAGGAAAGGAACATGCGCCAGCAAGTAGGAACGATACGAGATGAAGAGGACGAAGAAAAAAACTCCACACACATACTCAAAACCCTTGGCCCATCCCCCAACTCCATACCCACACCAAACCCCAAACCCCGAACCTCAAGCCACAAGCTCTGAACCCCAAACCCTGCACTCCAACACCCAATACCCTCTCCCTCCTCCCCCTCTCCTCCCCAAACCCTGCAACTGCAAGCACAACGAGCATGTGAGAGTGAGGGGGAACGGCCATTGACCTGCGATATTTGTGTGTGTGTGAGGTGGTTGTGGTGCAGGTGAAAGACCTTGGCATAGCTGACCCACCCTCCCCTCCCCTCCCCCTCCCCTCCCCCCCCCCCCTTGCAACTGCAAGCACAACCATCTTAAGAGTGAGAGAACGGCCATTGACCTGCCATATTTGCATGTGCGTGAGGTGCTTGTGGTGCAGGTCAAAGACCCTTGGCGTAGCTGACCCACCCACCCCTCCCCTCCCCCCATTCCCCCCCCCCCCTTGCAACTGCAAGCACAGCCTTCTCACGAGTAAGGGGAACGGCCATTGACCTGCCATATTTGCGTGTGCGTGAGGTGGCTGTGGTGCAGGTCAAAGACCTTGGTGTAGCTGACCCACCCTCTCTCCTCCCACACCCCTCCCCTTCCCCCTCCCCCCCCTCCAAGTGCAAGCGCAGCCTTCTCACGAGTAAGGGAAACAACCATTGACTGCCATATTTGTGTGTGCGTGAGGTGGCCGTGGTCGAGGACCAGGTCAAAGACCTTAGCATAGCTGACCTAGACTCCCCTTCCCTCCCCTCCCCTCTCCCCTCTCCCCTTCCCTTCCCTGCGAATACAAGCACAGCCTAGTGACGGGGAACGGCCATTGACCTGCCATATTTGCGTGTGCGTGAGGTGGCTGTGGTCCAGGTCGAACACCTTGGCGTAGCTGACCCGCGAGTGCGCCAGCCCATACAGGTTGATGCCCCACAGCCACACCATCAGCGCCTGAGGGGGGCGGCAGGCAGAGAGACGGAAAGGGGGAACGACGGGGATTGCGTTTGAGAGGCGCTTGAGGTTTGGAGGTGCATGCTTTGGCACAGGAAAGCTGAACCTCGTAGAAGACAGAATGAGTGAGCCTCTTTGAGATGCCTAGAAAACCGTCTAAGCACACAGAGAGACAGACAGAGAGAGAGCACACGTACGATCATGAGGAGGGGGTTGTAGTAGAGGAAAGTTTCATAGAAGAAAAGCAAGCCCTTTGAGAGGCCTAAACAGAGACCGTGTAGTAACACGGACTGACTGAGAGCGCACGTACGATCATGAGGAGGGGGTTGTAGTAGAGGAAAGCCTCGTAGAAGAAAAGGGACTGCAGGCTGCGATCCATGCGGTCCACTGAGTCCTTCATCACCTGCAGGGCGAGAAGAGAGAGAGAGAGAGAGAGAGAGAGAGAGGGGCGCAGATGAGAGCGCAGGGGGAGGGCAGGGGGAGGGCAGGGGTGGGCAGGGGGAGGGCAGGGTAGGGCAGGGGGAGGGCAGGGGGAGGGCAAGGGGGGGAAGGGCGAGGGCAGGGGGAGGGGAGGGAGGGGTCAGGGGGAGGGCAAGAGGGGAGCAGGGGGAGCGCAGCGGGAGGGCAAGGAGAGGGCGGTAGCGGGGCAGGCAGGGGAAGGGCAGGGGGGGTGCCAGGAGGAATGCCATGTGGCAAGTGCATGAGGAAGAGGCAGGGAGAAAAGGGTATGATCGGGAACGATTATTTTTTGCAAGCTCGAGCACAGAGGGACGAGAGGGACGAGTGAGGAGACATAATTGAAATAGCGAGCAAGAGAACCAAGGGCAGAGAGAGGGGGTGAGAAGGGGTGAGAAGGGGTGAGAAGGGGTGATAAGGAAGAGCGGAGAGGCGCGGGAAAAGGGGAAGGGGGGAGAATGGGGAGAAGGGCCGAGAAGGGATACAATGAGGGGTGAGAGAATGGGAGAGGTGGAGGGAGTGAGATAGAGTGAGAGGGAGAAGGTCCAAGGAGCACAAAGAAGCAGTGTTCAGGTGGAGGGGGGAGGGGAAGGGGAGAGGGAGGGGGTAGGGTAGACGCCTTGAAAGAGTTTGTATGGAAGAAAGGTTGGGAGATAAAGTTGAGCAGTGGGAGTTAAGGGAATTTGAGCGGGGAGGGACCAGGAGGAGCAAGTCTTACCTTCAAACAGAAGACGATCCATAGCAGTCCGAGACCCCACTGCATGGATTGGTTGAGGATGGGCGAAGGCGGCGAAGGCAATGCGTAGGAACGAACACAGAAGAACGCCATACAGACACAGGCACCAGACAGATCACACGCGCACAAACACACCCACACCACACTAGCACGCACATACACACACCAGACGCACAGATGCACACACACACACACGCGCGCGCAAACACACACAAACAAACATGTCGGTGGGAGGGGGGACGCAGAGAGGAATAGTCGGGGAACTTATAGTCAGCAATCGCGTGCGCTAAGAGCTAAATCACTCTGCTACACCACGTAGAAGCTAACAGCAATTGATCGTCGTCTGAAGACCGAACACGCTCTATCCTGCCAACTGCAATCCGAGTGACAACAGACTTGAGTAGAGTCGACAAGAATAGGAAGTCAGGCAGTGGGCTGTAGCCAATCGCGTGGTTGGAGCTAGCAACGTCGGTTAAAATAGCTTCAAGAAGTGATTTAGGAAACCACTTGCGGAATGAGTCGTCTCAGATGTATCGACAAACGATAGGTTCTGGTCTGATGCTCCATGATAAGGCACACGCGCAAGCGATGGCCGACAATATATCTCACACGAAATTGTCCAAGCAGGGAGAGTTGTAGCAGGTCCTTGTGAATCATTGTCAACGGATGACCACAGATCACCTGAAATTAATTCGCCTACCTGGATTCGGCTTCGTCGCATCAATGGGAGGATGAATGTGGTCAGGGTCGCCGGTCCTGTCATTTTCGAAGGGGACATAAGCCCTGGCGGTCCGGATGTGCCACTGATAGACGGGCTGGACGTGACCAATGACGGCTTGCCACCTGGCGATCGCGGGGGGTCGACCCCTCCGAGCATCGCCAGATGCGAGCCGGATAACCAGCCGAAGAGGAGCTTCTTTCTCGCCAGGAGCGCGGTGACGCCTAAACGGGCGTCATACACGGAAGGCTATATATGACGGGTACGGAGGACGCTTTTCCGAAGGAGGGTTCTGGAAGGAGTAATGAGGGTGATAGCTACCAAGGGGGAATAGGTAGATCCAGGCGAAAGACTGGAATGTCCTGGAAATAAATGGAGCAGAAATGCGATGCGGTTGACAGTTGGCGGTGCTGACGATTGGCGTGAATGATCTGGGATGCTGTGGTCTGGCTATGGCTAGTCATGCCCTATGGTGTGATTCATAACGTAGACGGCGACATGCCTCCGGCAATGAGATACACAGGATGACGACTATGGCTGGTAAGGTGGTAGTGGATGTTGACGGACACTACGACATAACCTGTTAGGTCCAAGTCTGAAGGGGGAGGCGAATTGCTACTAGAGCCAGCGACGGCGTCGGTTCGGTTGCACAAGGGTACGTGGTCGGAATGGATTATGTATCGGCCTGTCCGTCCACGCATGCATCTAGTGCGACGTAACAAAGAATCTTAGCAGGCTTGACTCCAGACTCGCATTTGACCCATGTAATCCGTAATAGGCCACCACGCTTTTACCACAGCAGATTCCTTCCACTACAGGGGATAGAAGGTCGAGCAGGAGAAACCCAACTGACAGACAGAAGAGCGGGAAACAAATCCCAAGGCTGGAAACGTCGCACAGAAAAAGCTGCTGAAGCCTCGAGCCAGTCGCACACAAGCCTTTTCGAGCACTGAACTGGTGGCGGGCGACATGAACGTGGTCGCAAGAATGCTGGAGTTCCATGTTAAGGTCGCAACACTGAACCGCGATTGGCTGGATCTTCACCACAGAACTTCACGAAGCGAGAGGAATGTTCGCCTCACCAACTTTCTCCCACTGCGAATCGGGAGTTCGAGGTAAAAAATTCCAGCTTTTCCTGCCAGACCGAATGGTTGTGGATGGATCTGAGGTACGTTTTAGGTCAGGCAGGAGGACTCAAGAGTTCTGGGAAAGGGAATTGTGCTCCTCGCTGCAATTAGGCACTTGGTTGACCGCATACTCGCATGAGGCATTCGCCATTAAAAGGTACCGTACTTACACGCTGTTGATAGGTGACCAGTATTCCTTTATGACGACATTTTCCTGGCATGCTAACGTAGAGTTATTCCACAATGTAATGGGGAAGTCAATATTAGTAGTAGCAACTTTACCATTTAATCATAAATTAATTCATCTACTTGATATATTTTTCCTCACGTACAGATCTCAATTGAGGATTGAGAACAGTGGGCCCTTTTGAAGAATCCTGCATATCAAAACACACGTGGGAGAAAATAGTGCAGATTCTGAGACCTTCGTCTATACCTGTATGATAAACCTACACTGTTACCATGCATGTGTACATGGTGGCATGTTAGCAACCGGGCATCAAGTATTTTCCCACAATGACTGTACAACAGCTCAAAAGTCTGAATCCCTACATACCCTAGCACTGCAAACCCTAGTCTTTCAAACTCTCAGACTTGTATAGGCTACTGATTCTTTAGCATGCAGTTTTTAAGAATGCCCTCTGTAACACGAACCAGGTCAGGTCACTGTTTCATCTTACCCACTTGGAAGGTGTAGATGCCAAGTGTGTTACAAATGTCGTAACACACCCCGACTGCAAAGTGGGCGTAAAGATAACCTGCAAGCAGCAGCACCACGAGCAGAGAGAGGGGGGGGGGGGGAAGGGGGGGGGGGCGCGCTTAACGCTAATGGAATAAGCTGTAACAGCAAAAAGGGTCTCCTCAACTGTAATAAACTTCATTCCGTTGACTAGACTGACGGAAAATTAACTGGACATCGACTTGGACTTGACTGAGAGTTGACTGAGTGGATGCCTAACAATGCACAGAGGAGACAGACCTGTGTGTGCAGCATACAGCAGCAGCAATGGAAACTCCGGAAGAGGGGTTTGAAGGGGCCCAGGAGACGCGGTGCTGCTGGGAGGGGCGTGGAGAGGGTTCGGTGGGATGTATGTACAAGGCGGGTTTTTTCTGGAGAGCTGTTTACTCTTTGAGAATCTCCTTGCACGGTGTATCCACCTCTTGAGGCGCCTAAAAAACAGACTCACACGTGGTGTAAGCTGGGTGGAGCGGGATTTTCTCGTGAAAGGTGTTTACTTTCCAAGAATATTTTTGCATGGTATATTGCATCGGAGGATTCAGCAATGACAGCAAAATCAACATGGAAGTGGGATAGGGCCAAAGATGGAACCCAGGGTAAGGGGCAGTGAAGGAACTGGAGAAAAGAAGGTGCAAAGGTTGATGCCTCACGCGAGGTGTGAACTACACAGAGTAGCAGCATCACTGGTGCACAAGAATAGAAAGGAGCAGCGGAGCAAAACAGAGCGAGTGAATTGGGCTGGAAACTGGCCTTACCTTTTGGTGAAGTGGGGCCAGGCCGCATTAACGAGTGCTATGGTGAGGAAGAAAAGAGGCTGGGGGACAAGTTGGGGAATGGGGGATGCGCAAGGGGAAGAGGGAGGTGATGGAGAAAAAGGAGGAGGGGGGGGAAGGAAGAGGAGGAGAGGAGAGCGGAGGGTGAAGTGGGGCCAGGCCGCGTTGACGAGTGCTATTGTGAGGAGGAAAAGAGGCTGGAGGACAAGTTGGGGAGTGGGGGAGAGCGTGTGGGGGAGAGGGAGGAGATGGTGGAGAGGAGAGGGGAGGGGAAGGAAGGAAGTGGAGGAGAGGAGAGTGGAGGATGAAGCAGGTGGGGAAGGTACAGGTGAGGAAGGTACAGGTAACATTAATGAAGGTCCAGATAAAGAAGCGGATAAAAGTGAAGAATGCGGCACACGGAACGGCTTATGATGGATGCAACAGCGGCCCAGAAAACAAGATTTTTTTAGAGCACAGCAAGTCTTTCAGAACTGCGCAGCGATCGAAAAACGGAGGTTTCCGTATGTCACCCAGTCGCTCTTGTTGCTACACGCCTGAAATGTTGAACAACAAGTTTCTAAACGCCTGCAGAACATGCCTGTGGTTGCACGCGTTGCAGTGTTGGAGAACAAAACGAAAAAAAAAACGCCTGCAACATCAAATGTCGTACCTGCATCATGCCTGCTAGTAGCCCTTCACTCTCCCTGGTGAGGTGCGCGAGTATCATTCGGCCCTGCCGTGGCATGGCGTGGGATGGGATGGGATGGGATGATTTGAAAAGGAACGGGATGGTATGTGGCATGGCACGATATGATATGGCGAGGAAATAAGGGGAGATACGCGTGCTAATTGAAATGAAGGAACAAGAACAGGATACCAACCAGCACTGAGAGAGAAAGAAAAAAGAAGCTTACCACAAAAAGAGCGAATCTAAAAACACCTCAAAACTCAAAACGTTCTGAGACGTCTCAAAACAGGAGCAATAGCAGGATACCAACGAACACGAAAGCGAAAGCGAAAGAGAAAAGAAGCTTACCACGATAAGAGCGAAGGAGAAGCAGAGGGCGAGAAAGAAGAAGTGCGAGTGATTGGGAATAACGGCTGAAGGAGACATTACTGCCCTGCAGTCAGAGAGAAGAGAGAGAGGACAGGGAAAACAAGGGATGATGATAATGATGGAGTGGAGTGTGGTGCCATGGGAAAATAGGAATGACGAGTAGAGACAAAGATGAGACGAGAAGGAGGCTTTGAAAAGGCATGACATCAGACAGAGAGAATGTGCGGTTGCCTGAGAGAAAATGAGAGGGAAAACCTGAAAAAGAGTAACCAGAAAGATTAAGAAAGTTGAGTGGTGAGAGGGCGAAGGTACATACCAGGCAACTGTGAAGCTTGCTAGGGCGAAATACGGGACTAGCTGGTGGAAGTACTACCAACATTCACCAGGTGTTGAAACCTAAGTTGCTGCCACGTACTTTCTCAATGGCACCTAACTGGTATCCACTTCCGGTGAGAGGGCGAGGGTACATACCAAGCAACTGTGAAGCTTGCTAGGGCGAAATATGGGACTAGCTGGTGGACGGAGGGGAAGGGGATGGGGATGGGGATGGGGATGGGGAAGGGGAAGGGGAAGGGGAAGGGGAGGGGGAGGGGGAGGGGGAGGGGGAGGGGAAAGGGGGGGGGGAAGGGGAAGACGCATGGACAGAGGATGGGGAAAAGAAACAAGTGTAAATACCGAGATAAAAGAAGCTAAAACGGAGCCTTGACACACCCTCCCTTCCACTCCTTCCCATTTCCAATCCTAAGAGCTAAAACGGAACTATGTTAATCTTCACCAGCTCCATTCGCTTTTGATGCGCTACCGTAACAAAAAAAAAAAAAAAAACCCCATCCATTCTCCATTCGCCTCGCGCAGAGAGATCCCAACCCTGTCTTACCAGCAGAGCGAGCAGCAAAGAGCGTGGTGTCCTGCTCAGCAAAGGGCACTGCTTGCCCCGCCCTGCGCTTCTCTTGCACTTTCCTTCCCTTCAGAGGTACGGCATGCATGCACACACACACACACCCTCTCGTACCAGCAGAGCGAGCAGCAAAGAGCGTGTTGTTCGCAAAGGGCACTGCTTAACCCGCCCTGCGCCTCTCCTTTTGAGGCGCCTCAAAACTCACCCTAACACACCCACTCGTACCAGCAGGGCAGCAAAGAGTGTGGTGTCGGCAAAGGGCACTGCTTGCCCTGCTTTGCGCCTCTCCTTCTCCCCAGACCTCACTGCTCTCAGCACCGTTGTCAAACTGCAGAAACGTGAGAGGAGAGGAGGAGAGAGGAGAGAGGAGAGAGGAGAGCATGAAAGAGAAGTGGACAAGATTAAAAAGGCTGCACAGTGCACAAGAGTGTGTGCCTGACTGGCCGTGGGCCTCTCTTTCTCCCCAGACCTCACTGCTCTTAGAACAGTTACGAAGCTGCACACAGAAGTTTGGAGATACGGGGCGAGGGGAGAAGGTAGGAGAGGGGAGGAGAGGGGGGCGACGGGAGGAGAAATGAGAGGGGAGGAGAGGGGGGTGAGGGGAGGTGAGGGGAGGAGAGGGGAGGAGAGGGGAGGAGACGGGAAGAGACGAGAGGAGGTGAGAGGAAGCGAGGAGAGGAGGAGAGGAGAGTGGAGGGGAGGAGATGAGGAAAGGAGGAGAGGAGGAGAGGAGAGGAGAGGAGAGGAGAGGAGAGAGGAGAGAAAAGCAAACGAGACTGAGAGACTATGTAGTGAAAAGGCGAGGGACCAAGAGAGTGGACATCAGTATTGAGACGCCTCGAAATGTGCAGAAACAAGAGGTCGACTGTTGAGGCGCCTCAAAAGTGAAACGACGAGGGGGCGAGAAAATGCACGACAATAGGTGCTAGTGCTCTATCAAATTCCAGATGTGCAAATAGCAGCACCCAACCCGTGCTGTTTGTGACACACACGACAGTACCACTACCACATGACTTTGCGCACCTCAATATCGCATAACGCAACACATATCACAAATACGACGCGCTACAGCCCTACAGAAATCATAGTTTCCTTCTTGAGAAATTCAAGAATTTACAAAGTTGTGGGAAAGCAGGCCTTTCTTTGCTCACAGGTGGCTTGTAAGAATTCTGAAAAACCAAGTTTGCGCGCCTTTGTGCTGCAACAGCAGAGGCGTGGAAAGCGCACGCCTCAGTTGCTCACAGCCGTGGGGAACACGAAAATCAGGAGCAAGTGAGGATCGGGTCGACCCAAGAGACACCAGAGCACACGGCAGGCCTTACTTACTTGCTGACAGCCGTGGGGAAGACGAAGAGAGGGAACTGCAGGAGCAGGAGCAGGAGCAGGTGCTGTTTGAGTCAAGACTATTAACTCACCAGGGTACACGACAAGACTTACTTGCTCACAGCCGTGGGGAAGACGAATAGAGGGAACTGCACGAGCAGAAGCAGGTCCAGACGGGACAGCGAGGCTGCAGAGGGATGAGGTACGAGGAGAGGTAGTGGAATAAAGGAGCAGGAGAGGTAGTGGAATAAGAGTCCGCATCTTGAACCTTGAACCTTTATGAACCCTGCACTCACACACAGCACTACTCGTTTTTTGTTTTTGTTTTTTTCTTCTTCCTCCTCTCCGATAGGCAATTAGAGAACTTTAGAGAATGCTGCTCGGCCAGCCTAGGAGAAAGAAATATACTTTTCGAAAGAACGACGGTGGAGAGAGCAATCGAAGAGAGATAAGGGGGGTGGGAGGGGAGGGAATGCGTTGGGTACGGGAGGTGCAGCGCAGGAGGCACCGCACGTGCGGAAGGAAGCTTCAGTCGCATGCAACGGACGGCACTGACCGATGCGTTGGAGGAGTGGCAGGTGCGTGTGCATGTGGATAGTGCTGGAAGGTAGAAGGAATATGTTCTATGGCGCCTCAGAAAGAGGAGGACACGGAAGACGCAGGGCAGGAGGGAAAGCAAGGGCGGAGATGGCACTGACCGATGCGTTGGAGGAGTGGCAGGTGCGTGTGCATGTGGATGGTGCTGGATGGCGGGAATAGGGGAACTCCCCACCAGTCCTGACCTGGGGAGGGAGGGAGGGGGGGAGGGAGGGAGGTAGGGAGGGAGGGAGGGAGGGAGGGAGGGAGGGAGGGAGGGAGGGAGGGAGGGAGGGAGGGAGGGAGGGAGGGAGGGAGGGAGGGAGGGAAGGAGAAAAAAAGAGGGAAGTGGTGGATGGAAATTTTACTTGTAGTAGAGAAACAAGTGAGGAGGAGAAGACACAGAAGCGCAATCGGTTAGTTGAGACGCAGGAAAAAAATCAGCACCCCCATGCAGGCAACCTAACTTTGTCGACCAAAAGACTAATTTTGAGACGCCTCAAACCTAACTTTGTAGACCAAAAGTCTAGTTTTGAGACGTCTCAACCTATTTTTTTAGACCAAAAGTCTACCTTTGAGACGTCTCAACCTAACTTTGTAGACCAAAACTCTCAGCGTACGTACCCTTGTACGCCGTGAAGAGAAAGAAGCCGCAGAGAGTGAGCAGGCCTTCTGTGGGGCCGTTCACAATGGGCAGCACGAGGGAGTGCGTGAAGAAGCTGTGCGGGACGGAGAGACGACGGGGGAGAGGAGAGTGGGAAGGTAGGAGGAGGGAGGAGGGAAGAGGGAGAGGAGAGTGGGGAGAAATGGGCAGCGAGAGGGAGTGTGTGTGGGAAGGAGGGACAACGGGGAGTTGGGGGTGGAGGGTGAGACAAGGGCAGAGCAAGAAAGAGGAGGGAAATGGGCAACAGGAGGGAGTGGGTGAAGATGCTGTGAGGAAATGAGGGACAATAGGGGGTGGAGAGCGAAGTTTGGAGAGGGCAGAGTGGCTGAGAGCCTGAGACCCTGTTTGGGAAGAAAAACGCGGGGGAAGGGGGAGGGAGAGGGGGAGGAGCGTGGCGAAAGACGGGCAAGAGAGGCAAGGAGATGCATCATTTGGTGGTGGCATCGAGAATGGGAAATGTGTTGGGTGCACCTGTGATATTAAAGGGGACAGGGTGGAGGGAGAGACTGTTGCACCATAAGTTTATCCATTCAACATGATGAGGAGTGGGGAGGAATGGATGCCATGAGAAGATAAGCTTGCAAGAGCGAGTGACAAGACTCCATGGCCCAATGGATAAGGCGCTGGTCTACGGAACCAGAGATTCTGGGTTCGATCCCCAGTGGAGTCGTTCATTTTATATCTTGTTTCTGTGATGTTCTGTTTACTTCTCTAATTGATAGGTGGAGCACAAAAATTCAAAATTGTTCTACCTCTACAACTAAAATTGACCTTTTAGAGGCCTCATAACCATAGACCTCATTTCGTTCTTTGCCTCCCAAGGTAGACCACAACTCAAGTCTCCTCACTACAACCCACCCTACCCCACCCAACCCCAGTCTATCCCATCTTGCCTCACCTGCAGCAGACTCTCACGTTTTCCAAATCGATGAAGGAGGTGGAGTGGCGAGCCAGAATGACTTTCATGTCGACTGGAAAACAATCTCTTTTGAATTGAATCTACTCATCAACCACCACTTTTGCCCCAACCCGTAAGTTATCCCCAGCAAAGACTTACGTTTCCCAACTGGCAAAGAAGAACGTGGAGGATGAGACAAGCCAGAAGAGAGGCGCGTGCGACCCCATCATGCCCGCTGCTGCAAATGGCAGCACCTCCAGCTGTGCCATGTGGGGATGGCAGAGCGCAGAGGCAGAGAGTGCAGAGACATTGAGTGAGAGTTTGATGGCTAGCGATTTTAAGATGTTCCAAAGGACCTCCGGTTGTGAGATGCGGGGATGGCAGAGCGCGGGCGGCAGGGGCAGTGGGTGAGAGTTTGATGCAAACTCACTCGCAGACAGGAATGGTTGCAATACAAGGGAAATGGAAGGCGCTGGCATGCAGAGCAAAGGAGGCTCACACTGGAGCAGTAAGAGGTTCGCTACAAGGCTGATAAGAACCATGTCACTCCACGCGGTTATCAGCCTCACTGCACGTGGTTACCAGCCTCACTCCACGCGGTTACCAGCCTCACTGCACGTGGTTACCAGCCTCACTGCACTGGTTACCAGCCTCATTGCATGTGGTTACCAGCCTACTGCATGTGGTTACTAGCCTCACGGCATGTGGTTACCAGCCTCATTGCAAGTGGTTACCAGCCTACTGCATGTGGTTACTAGCCTCATGGCATGTGGTTACCAGCCTCACTGCATGTGGTTACCAGCCTCACTGCATGTGGTTACCAGCCTCACTGCATGTGGTTACCAGCCTCACTGCACGCGGTTACCAGCCTCGCTGCACGCGGTTACCAGCCTCACTGCACGTGGTTATCAGCATCACTGCTTGAGGTTGGCAGCATCACTGCCCGTGGGTTATCAGTCTAACTGTGTGTGGTCACTGGGGATCTTACCGTGCAGCACACAGCATCGCAGCCTGGCAGCAAGTGGGCAGAAGACTTTTGAGTCGACTCAAAACTTTTGAGCCTACTTTTGAGTCGACTCAAAAGTAGGCTCACTAACTGTGTGTGGTCACTGGGGATCTTACCGTGCAGCACACAGCATCGCAGCCTGGCAGCAGGTGGGCAGAAGACCAAAGCGGTTCCATACGACGAGATGGGATGATGGAAGGAAAAAGAGATCGGGAAGAAGGGATGGGGGTGGAGGGAGGGGGAGCAGAGATGGGTGAGCAGGGATGGGGGAGGATGAGGGTGAGAGGAAGGAAGGAGGTGTTGTATGAGATGCGAGGAGGTGTTGTATGAAATGCGAGGAGGTGAAATGCAGGAGAGCAGTTAGAATCAATACACATGACAGCTCATGCCGATTCATGCCAGGGCATGCCATGTCATGCCATGTCATGCCAGGTCATGCCTGCCTTGTTCTCCCTACTCATGCCGAGTCATGGGCCTTCTCCTCCGGACCTTTTCGGCCATTGTGAATTGTCACTCACGCAGGGATGGTTTGAGTCGACTCTGCTGCCCTTATCGCCATGCACAATGTTTGAGCTCACCACAAGAGCTCACCATAGTGTGCATGGACTGACTTGCAAATGAAATGACCATCACAGTCTGTTTTGTTCCGAGTGGATCTACTGTGATCCCAGCAGCACCCACTCACTGTGATCCATGAGCTCGCCCAGAGGGCTCGATGCGCCCGAGTCTAGAGTCAACTATAAAACCCCTGCAGTCAATCCAGCAGCACCCACTCACTGTGATCCATGAGCTCGCCCAGAGGGCTAGATGCGCCCGTGCGCCGGGCCTGCTTCCCGTCCACTGCATCAAACGTCTAGTGTCATTGTGGGACGGAGGGGGAGCGGGGAGAAGGGGGGAAGGGAAGGAGGAAAAAGTTATAAGAGTTCTTAGAGGCAATTCTAATGCGCCGAGCCTGCTTGCCATCCACTGCATCATACGTCCGGGGCCAGTGTTGGGTGGAGGGGGCGGAGAGGGAAAAGGTGAGGGAAGGGGAGGGGGAAGAGGGGAGACGGGGAGTAGGGAGAGGAGGGGGGATCAGAAGAGTGAGGGGAAGGGAGAGAGACTGGAGAGGTGGGTGGGAGGATGGAGAGAGAATGGATACCCTACCCATTCATTTCTTACCTGGTAGAGGAACAGGAGGACTGCGAAGAGGACAAGAACCGGGCGTGGCACGTGGGCTAGGAGGTCCGGAGAAAAGTACTGTGGGAAGGTAAGAAGGGGAGAAGGAAAATGCAAGAAGGGAGAAGGGGAATGCAAGAAGAGAAAGGGGAACGCAAGGTGGGATGCATGCAGGTGATACGTATGAGTCAACTTACAACAAGTGGCACAAGTGGCACAAGAGGACAGGAGAGAGGCACTGCGAAAAAGAGGGGAGTGACAGTTGGTATGCAAGAGACTTGAACCCAGAAGGTTAGGTGAAAGTGAAAGAAGGGTCGAAGCTGCTACTGATGGAAGAGGGGGAGTGAAAGCTGGGGTCGAAGAGAACATATGATTTAGCATCATAGGGGAAAGTGCATGAAAACTGGATCCAAAGGGAAAATAAATGAAGTATCATTGGGAACGATGGCGAGTGAAAGTGGGGTGAAAGGGGAAGAGTTTACATCTTGCATGAGGGAACACGTACCCAGCTCAACCCCACGGATAAGAACACAAAGCAGAGCCCCGTGACTGTAATCTGAGAGGCAACACGTTTTAAGGAGGCAAGGACAAGACAAAGGAAAATGGCAATTGTGAGTCACGGGCGACGGCAAGGGCAAGACCAGGGGGAAAGGCGTTACGAGGCACTGAACGAGGAGGCGATGCCGATTTATGGTACGATATGTTGTATGTTATGTTGTCGCATGGCATGGCATGGCATGTCATATCTGACCAGAAGCACGCTAGAAGAGAATACAAGGGAGGAATGCTTGAAAATCGAGTAATGACAGGATCAGTGAGCATGAGATGTGAAAGGACGAGCAGGGGGTCCATGTTGTCGGGGAGCGACTCTGATGGGAGCGATGCTGTTGCTCACAGTGTTGGGGCTGTCAGCATGATCGCGTGGTCGCACGGTCGCACACGGTCGCATGGTCGCACGGTCCCATGGTCGCATGATCAGATGGTGAGGCGATGTGCCGTTGGTTGCACGAGTGATACGAGGCGACATGCATGGAGATCGCGAGGGGATGGGAAAGGTGGGAAAGGGGAGGAGATTGAGACGAAAGAGTGCTTAATGCCGCAAGCGAATGCGTGGGGGGGAAGGTAAACGAAGGAGCGGGAAGGAGGGGAAAGTGGTGGGATGGGATTTGGATAGGGAGAAGGGATCCAAATCGACGACGAGCGAAGGCTCGCGGAACGTCACAGATGACAGGACCGAAAGAGCCGAGATGGCAGCGGAACGAGTGGATTGTCCAGAACTGAACGTCGACTCGACAACGAAGTCACCTGGGTGCAGAATCACTGATGAAACCGAGGAACGGTAACAAACGCGGTTGAAGTATCAGAAGGTAAAAGCTGAGAGTGGGAAATACTCGCCTGGTTAGGCCACTATAATAAGATCCCGCCGAATCGCCTGATCAAGGCAGGCTGATCAGCACAGGGCTGATCAGCGCACGGTTGATCGAGGGAACTTACGCGACGGAGAGCGGGAAGAGCAGGACGAATCGCGACCAGAAGGGCTGTAAGATGTACTTAGAGACAAGCGAGTGATCTGCGCCATGGTACTTGTATCGCCTAAGTTGCTCCCTCCCTTTCTCCCCCACGTAGTAGAACTTCACGGCCTTGTCGCCGTTCTGCATGATGGTTCTGCTAGAAACGACGCGTCGTTTCGATCACTACGCGAAAAAAAGGGGAAAAAAATGACCAGACGCAGGAGAAAGAAAAGACACACGGAGAACTGCACTAGACCAAAAGCCAAGAATCGATTACCCCGTCTCCCTCCTCTAGAATCTGTAGTCTAGAATCAAGAACCTGAAATGCCAAATGAAAGATCAGGCACTGGCATAAGTGTGTGTGGATTCGGAGTGAAGTGGGAATCGGAAATTCAGAAACAGGCACACAGACACAGGCTGAAACAGAAACACACAGCCTTCTCCGTTCCCCTTCCCTTCCCTCCTTTCCCTGCCAAATCTGATCAACGCTGCGTTTCGGCAAGAAAATTCAATGCGATGTACTGTAGATGAACAACTGTACGTCGGGCGCGCGGGTGTACACTAAACTAAACACATGTCCACCAGGTGTGGTGCGACAGCACTGCGACCAATCACAGGAAGGCGCGAAAGCGGGTGACAGACAAGACGGAGGAGGTGATTCTGGAATTTAGATTGATTTCGTGTAACAGTGAATTGTTGGCGAGATAAAGTAACCTGATTCGCGAATCCATTGCGAGAAGGTTTCTCGCAAAGCCCAGGTTTGCAGCGTCCTCTTGACGCCAAATGATAGGGCAATCTTGGGATCATTTTGAAGTTGCAAATTCAAAAGTTTGACAGCGGCATCGTTTGGCGGGAAACCAGGGCCTTGGAGTACGGCGCGGGAACCAGCAGGTACCGATCGGCACCGCACATGTAGAACCATCCCCACACCAGGAACCTGGAGGTTATCTGTGCTGCTGGTGTTGCACCATCATCTCATCACTCGGCTAGAAGACTACAAGAAGAGCTCTCCTAGGAAGTTCATGGTTAGCATTGTGGGAGGAATCATATTCTAGTGAGTCTTTAGCAAGCCTTAGTCAAACTCCCTACGCCGGTACCATCATTCAACTACTAGACTCCATTTGGCTCCCCTCGAGCTTGTTGGCGATAAGTGCTTGCTGTTCTTTTAAGTTTTCGTAATGCGACCATAGCACCACCCAGTAAGGAGTTTCTCACTCCTTTTCTGGTCGACGTTTCGTGGAAAGTTCACGAGAACGTGCGACATAGTCATGGAGAGGCAAGGGGATCACCTGAGGGAGATGAAGGTGCAATTCCGTGTCGAGGAGCGCAACGGTAACTACAGAGAAGCCTCTCGCTATGCTAACAAGATCGCGAACTCGCTCAAGGACGCGGGATCCTACCATAAAGCCCTGAAATGGCTCAAGCGAGACTACGAATACACGAATCGCGCGATAGACCAGCAACGGCACAAGACGAGAAAAACTTTGTCAACGTCAACGTCAACGTCAGCGTCAGGTCAAGGCATGCGATCCGAGTCCCAGGAGGATGAAGGAGATCTTCAGCGGGACCTGCTCATGACTCTTCAGAGCCTGGGAGAGATATACCTGCGGCTGCAGAACTTCCAAGAAGCCATTTCCTACTCGGTAGCGTTTGCTGCGTCGTTCACTCAACATACCATCACCATTATCACGTCGTAGTCATTCTCATAGTTGCATCGTTCAAAGTCACATTTCTAGGACAAGACTGATTCCAGATTAAAGCTCCTGCCTCCACATCCCGGAGTTGGCTCTCGACCCTTCTTTTCCCGCCACTCCATTTTTCGCGTAATTGGGATGCTTGTATGCGTCGTGTCACTTGTAGGAATTTCTCCCAACGTCCCCTTTCCGCTGTGACTTCAAAATTCTGCCTATCTTTCCCCAGGCACGGCAGGGACTACATGCAGGCGAGGCAAATGGCGGGCGCGGCGGAACAGAGTCATTCCAGGATCGAGACAGATGAAAGACGCAGTGAGATACGTTATAAAATTATCTCTCTACCCCTCCTCCCCCTCACCGATGCAGCATGGATGCAGGACGAGGTGGGGCAGAGTTAAGGGCTTTTCAAAAGATAAACCAGAGAGTATAGAACGCTTCCCCCTACCCGTCCTCCTTCTGCCCCTCTTCATGCACTCCAGGAGCGGCACAGATGCAGATGCAGATGCCGGACGAGGTGGAGCAGTGTCAAGGGTACGAAAGAGTAAAACACGCTTCTTCCTACCCATTCTCCCTCCCTTCGCCCTCTCCTCGCACCACAGGAGCGGCACTACGAGCTGGCGGTGCAGATGCAGGACGAGGTGGAGCAGCAGCGCTCCTCCACGCAGCTCGGGCGGGCCTATTTCGACTCCTTCACCTCGCGCGCGGACGCCGCCGCCGCCGCCGGCACCGACATCGAAGCCTCGCTCGAGCAGCAAGCCGCGTCGATGCAAACACTGAAATCCGCGCGCAAGTATTTTCAGCTCTCATTGCGGCTGGCGAAGGGCCTCCACGAGGGGGGGGAGGGGATCGGCGGAGCAGGCGCACGCGCGGGCGGGAATGGGAGGGTGAGAGGAGCCCGCGCGGGCAGGAGCGGCGGCGGAAGCGGGGGGAGGTCGTGGGGGGGGAATCGGCGGTTCGCGCAAGAGCTGGCGGATGCGTATAACAACGTGGGGCTGCTATTTGAGGAGGTGGAAAGCTACGATGAGGCGGTTAACTGTTTCGATCGCGGGCTGGAGGTGGGTGTTGGGAGGAGGGTAGGTTTGTGGAATGTCCTTCCTCTCCCTTCTCCCTTCTCGCTTCCGCCTCTCCCAAACCCTTGGCTTTTCCCCTTCGCCCTCGCTTCCCTTCCCACTTCCTTTCCTCCCCTTCACATGTCCCTCGCCATCTCAACCTCCATCCCCCATGCGTCATTTCCCCACTCTGACTTCGCCTTTCCTAGGATGTGACGACTCTTGCGATTTTTGTGAGAATTCTATAATCAAACGCCTTCCCAAATCCTATCCCCCTCCTGTGCACGTGTGCGAGAGCGGGTGGGATGGGCATTGGGAGGACGCGCACGAGTTTAAGGTATATCAAAACTCCATCCCTCATCCCGCCATTCTCAATGGTCATCCCCTCCGCAACATCCCTTCCCCAACCCCCCGCACGGCCGGTTCCCTCCACACGCACCCCTCCAGGTGTGCGACGACGAGGAGATTGGGTCAATCGATGTGACGAGACGCGGACACGGCTGCACAACTCCCTGAGGCGAGTGTTCTGTTCACCAAGTCGTGCCAGTCGCTTTCGGGTCGACTCAAAGCCCCCACCCCCACCCTTACCTCCCACTTCCCTCCCACGCGCACCCCTCTAGGTGTGCGACGATGAGGAGATAGGGTCAATCGATGAGACGCGCACGCGGCTGCACAACTCGCTGGGACGAGTGTTCACCAAGTCGTGCAAGTGGGAGCAGGCGCGCAAGCACATTGACATGGACGTGCGGATTTGTGAGCGGCTGAACAACGCCGTGGGGTGCGCCAAGGCGTGGATCAACAAGGGCGACTTTTGCTTCAAGAAGGAGGAGTACGACGAGGCGGAGAGGGTGAGTGGGTGGGTTGGGTAGGGGGAGAGGCAGAGTGCGTTGGTGGAATGGAAGGAACAGGGCAAGGGAGAGTGATGAACAGCGAAGCAGGGTGCGCCAAGGCATGGATGAACAAGGGCGACTTTTGCTTCAAGAAGGAGGAGTACGACGAGGCGGAGAGGGTGAGTGGGTGGAGGGGTAGGGGGAGAGGCAGAGTGCGTTGGTGGAATGGAAGGAACAGGGCAAGGGAGAGTGATGAACAGCGAAGCAGGGTGCGCCAAGGCGTGGATGAACAAGGGCGACTTTTGCTTCGAGGGATGCGACGAGCCAGAGAGGGTGAGTGGGTGGAGAGGGTAGGAGGGTGAGTGGGTGGGGAGGGAGAGAGTAGGAGGCTGGGTGGGCGGACAGGGTGGTTTGGAAGAGCAGGGCGGGGTGATTGTGTGTGTTTAAGTGGCCGAACAATGCCGTGGGGTGCGCCAAGGCGTGGATGAACAAGGGTGACTCTTAAAGCCTCTGCACCCCCTGTATTCCATGTGACCCACGTAAACCCCCAACAACTTGTCTTGTACCCGTTCCTCTGAGCCGCCCAGGCGTTTAGGCGGGCGAAGGACATCTTGCAGCAGGTAGAGGACAAGGGGACGTTATTGGCAACGCATAGGCCATTCCTGTACCCCCTGTTCTCCATGTGACCCACATAGGCCATTCTTGTCTTGTACCCGTTCCTCTGAGTCGCCCAGGGGTTTAGGCGGGCGAAGGACATATTGCAGCAGGTAGAGGATGAGGCGGCTCAAACTCCATTGCTTTTTTTCTCAACAGCTTATCAACCCTCCCGTGTCTACCCAGGCGTTTAGGCGGGCGAGGGACATATTGCAGCAGGTAGAGGACGAGGCGGCGTTGTTGGCGACGTGTGAGAGCAATCTGGAGAACGTGGGAGAGGCCAAGTGGCAGAAGGAGCATTGCGAGCAGCTGTGGGGGCAGCACCGCAAGACACAGCGGCTGCTGGAGCGAGCAGGGTAATGCGAGTATGCTTGCGTGTGTTGTGGACTTGGGCTTGGCTTTGGTGTGCCTGTGCCTGCTCCTGTCTGTGGGTGTAGAACCGCAAGACACAGCGGCTGCGGCGGGAGTGAGCGAGGTGGAGTGTGTGCCTGTATACCTTGACTTGATCTGTTGATCCATCTCCTGTCAGTGTGCTGTGTTCCAGTCTATACCGCACACATACATCACCCGTGCCCTGACCAGCAAGGAGTGGCAGTTGATTTTTGAAAACAAAGAAAAGCTTCGATCCAAAGGAAGCAAAGGAGTTGGCTGGCGTGCTCGTGGGCGCTGCACTGTGTGTGCACACATCTTGTGGCTCGTGGCCGGACGAGCAGGAGAGGCTGATGCTGGTTGCTGTGCATGTTCGTGGCATGGCAGTTCGAGTGAGGAGAAGCAGAAGCAAATTTCGGAGGACAGGCGAATTCTGAAGGAGCTGGTGGAAATCGCAACTTTCACGCAGGCTCGTCTCACTGTGAGTTGAACTGCTCCCAGCGGGTTTTGAGTTGCTCAATGCAAGATTTGAGACGTCTCATAACTCGGAACGTTCTCAGCCGCCCACTCCTGTCTGTTTTATCTCATTCTCCGTCTGCATCCGCATCTGCATCTACATGATAATCCCCCCCCCCCCCCCCCCCCCCCCCCCCACACACACACACACGCACCTCACAGTGCCTAAGGGCAGCAGAGGAGTATGTGCGGCTGGGCGACTGGGCAGCAGACACACTGATACAGTGCGAGGCAGCAGAGGAGATGGCGGATGCATGCTAACCTCCCCGCTGCCCCCTCCGCCCCGCCCCCACGTGCCACTATTCCTGTCTTGTGCACTGTCTCCCTGCAACCGTGTCCGTTCCACCTCCTCGTAATCACCTCTCCCTGTCGTATCTCCTCTCCATCTCTCCCACACACACACACACACACGCTCACACACACTCCTCACAGCGGCTAAAGGCAGCAGAGGAGTATGTGCGGCTGGGCGACCGTGCAGCAGACACACTGATACAGTGCGAGGCAGCAGAGGCGATGGCAGAAGCGTGGTACAACTTGTATGACCTGGGCAAGGCGTGGCGCTGGTACCATGACTCGCTGGGGCTGAACCGACGGCTGAAGATCAAAGAGGTGTGTGCATGGAAGGGGCGAGGTATGTGCAAAGGGGGGACTGTGGCAAGGCGTGGATCTGGTACCATGACTCCTTGGGGCTGAACCGACGGCTGAAGATCAAAGAGGTGTGTGCGGTGTGGAAGGTGTGACGGGTTGGGGTGTAAGGCACAGGGAAGGTGCAGGGGAGAGGGAGCAGGGAGCAGGGAGCAGGGAGCAGAGAGCAGAGAGCAGGGGGGAGAGGAGTGCAGGGGAGAGGAAAGGGGAGGTGGGAAGAAGAGAGGTGAGGGCTTCATGGGGCAGCAGAGGCGATTGCAGAGGCGTGGTACAACCTGTATGACCTGGGCAAGGCGTGGCGCTGGTACATGACTCGCTGGGGCTGAACCGACGGCTTAAGATCAAAGAGGTGTGTGCGCCACACACCCACCCACACGCGCTCCCTCTCCCCGTCTCTCTTCTATCTTGCCTCTGTGCTCGCTGTACCCACGCACGCTCCCTGTTGAGAGGGTGTTCTTGAAACGTCTCAAAAACACCCTCTCAACACGCTTCTATCTGGCCTCTGTGCTCGTTGTACTCACACATGCTCCTTGTTCTACCTCTCTCTCCTGTTCTGAGACGTCTCAAGACTCCCACACTCACTGCCTTCTTCTGCTCATGGCTTGCCCTCAACCTCTACCCACCAGGGAGAAATTAAGAGCCCTTGTTGACAATGTTAGCAAGGATTTTTTTCCAGAAGCGATGCCTCTCCCTCTGCTTCCTCGATTGCTGTCATCAGGGCGAGTTTGTGTGGCGCTGATAGGTTTCCATTGGCAGTATGAATGACACAAGGTTGGATTGGAGCACAGCATGCACAGAGGCGCGACTATCAGGGGGTCTCAGGAATCCACATGCGATGCCCTTCTTTTCTCTGCTTCCCGCCCGCCCTCGCCCTCACCAGGGCGAGTTCATTGCGCTGATAGGCATCGGCAACGTGAGTGATGCAAGGTTGCAGCACGAACAGGCACTGGAGTATTTCCAGCAAGCGCTGCTGTGAGTGCAGAGGGAAAGGGAGAGGGAGAGGGAGAGGGAGAGGGAGAGGGAGAGGGAGAGGGAGAGGGAGAGGGACCGGTGGGGCACTTTTGACTTGTGAAGTCTGAAATTCTTAAGTGATGCAAGGTTGGAGCACGCACAGGCACTGGAGTACTTCCAGCAAGCGCTGCTGTGAGTGCAGAGGGAGAGGGGTTGGGACGAATATTGCATGGACGAGTTTTGTGGCTCCTCAAATTTGAGAATTCTAGGTTGCAGCACCCTGCTGTGAGTGCAGAGGGAGAGGGACTGGGACGAGTAGGGCGCTTTTTCAAAGGTGCAGCTATGGCATGAACGAGTTTGAGGGCTACTCAAATGATTAGTTTTGCAAGGTTGGAGTACGCACAGGAGTAGCTCCAGCAAGCGCTACTGTGAGAGGAGAGGGCGAGGGATTGGAGGGGAGGGTACTTTTTACTTGAGATAAGCCTGAAAGTTTTTAGTGATGCAAGATTGGAGCACGCACAAGCACTGGAGTAGCTCCAGCAAGCGCTGCTGGGCGAGGGAGTGAAGATGGGGAGTGGAGGACATAGGAGGGAGAAGGGGAGGGGACGAGACCGGAGGGAGAGGGGGAGGGGAGGAGACAGGGGGAGAGGGGGGGATGGATCTGGTTGCTCTCTGGTTCTTGCACATCCTTTGTACCTGAGATCCCTTACACCCCGGATGGGTAGACTTGATTTTTTGTGTTTCAAATCTTGCCCACTTCTCGTGCTCTTGTAGCAGGGGATGAGCTGACCTGCCAGGGTCGCTTAGGAGAAAGTGCAGGAGAGCAGAGGGCGGATTTGGAGAATTCTGAAAATCCTGAAACCTTTTGCAATTGCACCACCTGCTTGTGCGCCCTAAACCCTGGGGTTTGGTTGACATGCCAGGTTCGCAGAAGAGGAGGAGCAGGAGCAGGGGACGGGCTTTAAGAGCTATATTTTTAAAAAGGCCGCAATTTCACCACCTGCTTGTGCTCTTGTTGTGGGGGTGGGTTGACCTGCCAGGGTTGCGGAAGAGGAGGAGCAGGAGCAGGGCGGCGAGCTGGCAGTGCAGCGAGCGTGGGAGCACCAAGTGCTGAGTTTGAGCAACATGCAATATGTGTACTCCATGCGGCTCTGTGACGTTGATAAGGCCCTGTGAGTGCGAGGGCGGATGGGGAGGAGAGTGTGGGTGGGGCAATGCGCACAGAAGCAGTGTGTCGTAGGTGGTGATTTTGAACAACATGCAATATGTGTTCTCCATTCGCCTCTGTGACGTTGATAAGGCCCTGTGAGTGTGCGACGAGAGGGGAGGGTGGACTGGGGAAGGTGCGAGCTGGGGATGAGCGGTAGGTGCATAGAAGGCAGAATCACCAAGTGCTGAGTTTGAACAACTTGTAATATGTGTACTCTCTGCGAAGTCGAAGGCCCTGTGAGTGTGCGACGGGATGGGACGGGGACGCAGGGAGTGAGGGAGTGGGGATGGAAATGAGGGAGGCACGAGTTGGGGAGGAGGGAGTGGGGATGGGGTGATGGAAGGGAAGGCAGCAGCAGATGGTAATCTCGATGCGAAATTCTGATGGTAAGGCATGGTGCTGAACCTACCCACTCAGAATTCCATGTTTCCTTCCTCCCCGTCTTTTCTCTGCCTCCCGACCTCTTCTGTACAGTGAGGTTCATAGACGCGTATGGACTCTCAAACAGAAGATTGCAGAGGCGAAGGCAGAATCGGGAGATCACAGTCCAAGGGATGATGCCGCTGATGCTGCTGCTGCTGCTGCTGCTACTGCTGCTGCAGCAGCTGCTGATGCTGGTGACGAGGATGATTCTGATTCTGATGACGATCTATTTACTACTGACCTGGGCCAAAACGATGGCAGATTTACTGGGGGCAAGGGTGGTGCTTCTGGTGCTGGTGGCTCTACTGCTCCTGCCGCTGCTGCTGCCAAAACTGTAGCTGCTGGTGGCACTAGTGGCGGCAGCAGTGGAACGGAAGGCGTGAAGAGGGGGACAAGGGGCGTTGCAGCAGATAGGGTGAATTCTGCGACGAAAGGAGGGCAGGCAGCAAGTGGTGCAGGTGCTACTGGGGCAGGTGGTACTGGGGCAGGTGGTACTGGGGCAGGTGGTACTGGGGCAGGTGGTACTGGGGCAGGTGGTACTGGGGCAGGTGGTACTGGGGCAGGTGGTACTGGGGCAGGTGGTACTGGAAAATCAGGAGGTGATCTAACCATTTCGGAAAGGTTCAGGCTGAAGAAACTGCAGCAGACGCAGCAGCCACAGAAAATTCCACCACAGCAGCAGCAGCGATTTTCCAGGCTGCATAAGCGAAAGCAGGAGCAGAGTCAGCAAGGTCTCATTGATTCCGGTTCCGGGTTGAGGCGACAGATGGAGGAGAAAAGACTGGAGCGAGGGCGGATGGAGCAAGATCAGGTGGGGTTGGACGAGTTGGAAGACTCGCCTGGGGAGTCTTTCCCCTCTCAGCCTCTGCCTACCACCACCACTCGTCGTGCTGCTGGTGGCAAAGAGGGAAGGGCTGGAAGGGCACGTGGAAGGGCATTTGAGGAGGAGGAGGAGGAGGCGGAGGAGGAGGATGACGTGGTGGAGGTGGGTGCGGGGGATGTTTGGAGGAGCGGGGCTAGGCAGGGCCAGGGTCAAAGAGTGGCAACTTCAGGAGGGACACGTGTAGGGAAGAGCTGCTGTGAGGAAGCTGCAGGTTTGGCAGGAAGGAAAGGTGCAGCAGGAGTGAAGGGAGGTGCTGTGGGCAAGGGGGGTGATGAAGAAATGGAAACGGGAGTGGTGAAAGCAGGAGTGGTGAAAGGAGGGGCGGTGAAAGGAGGGGCGGTGAAAGGAGGGATGGTGCAAGGAGGGGCGGTGAAAGGAAGGGCGGCGGAGGAAGTGATAGAGATAGCCGATGACAGCACTGACGAATTGGAGGACTCGCCTGAAGACGTGATCTTTCCCCGCCGGCATCTTCTTGAGGCACCTCATAAATCACCTCAATGCTTGGAGGACTCGCCTGAAGACGTGATCTTTCCCCGCCGGCATAGTCTGCGCGTAAAGAAAATCAGCGCTCGTGCTGGTGCTGGCGCTGCTGCTGGTGGTGGTGCTGGTGGTGCTGCTGGTGCTGCTGGTGCTGCTGGTGCTGGTGCTGGTGGTGCTGCTGGTGCTGGTGGTGCTGCTGGTGCTGGTGCTGGTGCTGGTGCTGCTGCTGCTGCTGCTGCTGCTGGTGCTGCTGCTGCTGCTGCTGCTGCTGCTGCTGCTGGTAGTGGTGGCGGTGGTGTTAGGGTTGGTCGTGGTGCTGCTGCTGCCATGGCGTTTCTAGACGCAGATACTGCTGATGAGGCTTACAGTGGCGTGCAGGGTCTGGGTGGAAGCCTGAGGGAGGAGGGGGAGGGCAGGGGGGGTCATGAGAGGCACCAGGAAGAGGCTTGCAGTAGCAGGCAGGATATTGCTGGAAACCCAAGGGAGAAACGTCAAGAGGCTGTTGGGGCGCCTGTGAAAGAGGCTTCTAGTAGAAAGGAAAACCGGCAGGAGGCTGCTGAAAGCCCAAGGGAGAAGGACCAGAGGGTTTCTGAGGCGCCTGTTGCAGTGGCTTGCAATGGCAGGAAGGCGGTGGTTGAAAGCTTAGGGAAGGGGGGTAAGGGGGTGTTTGAGGGTTCGATTAGAAAGGCTTGTAGTGGCAGGCAGGAAGTGGGTGAAAGTGAAAGGGAAGAGGGTGGTGATAGGGAGGCTGATGGGAGAGATGGAGATGGGTGGGCGGACGATTGGAAGGAGTTGGGTGTGGTGGGAGAAGATGGGCAAGGAGAGTTGAAAGAAGAAGAGCTGTTTGATTATCTGTTACAGCAAGGGATTGCAGGAGGGAGGGCTGGAATTGCAGAAAAAAACTTGACGCAGGAGGGGGAAGGTGGAAGGAAGGGAGGAGGGGAGGGAGCAAGGGTGGATGGGGTGGGCCGAGGAGCAACTGGGGAGAAGCAAGGACAGCTGTATGAATCAGGGACGGTTGGTGGTGTACCCGCTCCGTCTGCTGCTGCAGCTGCTGCGGCTGCTGCTGCCTCTGCTCCCTCTGCTGCTGCTGCCTCTGTTGCTCTATCTCCTGGTTCTCCTCCTGCCGCTTGTTGTGCTCCTGCCCCTGCTCCTGCTCCTGCCCCTGCTCCTGCTCCTGCCCCTGATCCTTCTGTCTCTGCAGGAGGTGTAGGTGAGGCTGGAAGAGAGGGAGGGCCATGGTATGGAGGGATGGAAGAGATAGTGATGGACTCACAGGATGAGGAGGATGAACCTGATGCTGCTCCTCATGCTCCTTATGCTCATGATGCTCCTGCTGTTGCTCCTGCTCATGCTCCTCCTCCTGATGCTGCGGGTGCTGACGCTGATGCTCAGATGATGGTGATGGATTCTGAAGAGCAAACTGATGATGCCTGTGATGCTCCTGCTTATGATGCAACTGATGCTCATGCTGCTACAGCTACAGCTACTGCTACTGCTACTGCTACTGCTCATGCTAGTGCCAAGGCTAACGTTCATGCTACTGCTGCCGCCAATGCTACTGCTAATGCTGTTGCTCATGCTAGTGCTCCCGCTATCTCTAATGCTAGCGCTACAGCTCGTGTGCACCTAGATGATCATAATCGCAACGTCCCTCATGCTCGTGCAGAGGAAGAAGCAGTGCGAGCAAAGGTGAGAGGGCAAGAGAGGCTGGAAACGTTAGAACTTGCAGAGAGCAGGGCAGGGAAAAGGGTAAGGGACGACGCAAACATGTGGAGAGGTGAAAATGTGGGGGGAAATGTGGGGGGAAATGTGGGGGGAAATGTGGGAGGAGATGCTAGGAGGTGTAGCAAGGCCAGGAGAAGTATAGCGTTTGGTGGTGCAGGTGGGGCTGAGGCGGCTGGTCCTGCTGCTGCTGCTGCTGCTGCTGTTGGGGCTGCTGGTGCTGGTGCTGGTGCCGCTACTGCTGCTGTTGCTGCTGCAGGTACTGGTGCTCGTGCTGCCGGCGGTGCTGATGATGATGCTTCTCCTGGTGCCTCAACTCACAAGGCATATGCCCCGGCTCCTACTGCTACAACTGCACCAGGTTTTTCAACACCACTGGTAACCACGGCACGAGTAGACACAGCAGCAGAGGTAGCAGCAGCAGATGAAGCAACCGCCGCAGCAGCAGCAGCAGCAGTGACCAAGGCATCAGAAGCAGCAGGACCAACTACGGCTGCTCCGGGTTTCTCTACACCACCGGTTAACACGGCAGCAGTAGATGCAGCAGCAGACGCGGCAGCCAAGGCATCAGGAGCAGCAGCACCACTGGGACCAGCAACGCCAGCCGCAGCAGCGGTAGCATCAGGAGCAGCCTCAGCAGCTGCAGCAGGGTCAGCATCAGCAGAAGCACCCGCAGCAGCAGAGGCAGTGGCAACAGCGCCACCACCGCCATCACCAGAAGCACCAGCAGCTGCAGCAGCAGCAGCAGCAGCAGCAGCAGCAGGAGATGGTGTAGTGTCATCTTCCCAAAGGCCGCCACTCCTGCCCCCATTCGTGCTCGTGCAAATGGGCACGGACTGCCTTCAAGTCGCCCTGCCCCCGTTTGCAACCACTGACAGTGATGCAGGAGCAGAGGTGGGGACTGCATGGCAACAGCAGCGACAGCAGCAGCAGGGGCAGCAGTGGCAGGAGAAAGTGGTGGCACAGGTGCCGGGAGCTGAGGATGTGACAGTGGTGTGGTTGATGCGACGACTCGAGCTGGAATACCTGGTGCTACATGCAGATGGTATATTCACCCCCCCTCCAGACATGAGAATTGTGTTTCGAGTCGACTCAAAGCAGACTGGATATTCCCCCCCCCCCCTCCCCCCCCCCCCCACCCACCCCCCCACCCGTTTATAGTGGACTCAAAACGCGACAGCTCGAGATAGAATACCTGGTGCGACATGCAGATGGTGCATCCGCTCTCCCACCCCTATTTTAGTCCTTTTCTCTCCCCTCTCTTCGCCGTCCTTGTTTCACTCAAGGTACCCCTATTCTTCCCCTGTATCTCCTCGTATCCCCTCATAACCCCTCATCCCCCCCCATATCCCCTCATATCCCCTCGTTTCCTCTCGTTTCCCCTTGTTTTCCCGTGTGTCTGCTCCACCAACCCCAACCACAGGTCCCTGCCCCATCGTGCGCCGTCTCTCCCTCAGCAACGTTGCTCTCTCACCCTCCTTGCCTCTGCACGTGGCTCTCACTCTCGCTCCCTCAACCGTACCATGTGGGAGCAGGAGGGACAGCAGGGGCAGCGGCTCAAGCCCTGCGTGCCAGTCCCAGCTGCAGCAGCAGAATGCCCTGCAATCGACCGCCGACGGTTCTCATTCCTACTGCCCTCCATTGGTTGCCCACATCACTGGTACGCTTTCACACAGTGAGGAAAGGTATCTAGTGTCGACAGGAAATACACCTGTATGCCCCCCACTTCTGAGTCGACTCAAAAGTCAGGAAATACTCCTGTACGGCTCCCACCTGTACGGCTCCCACCTGTACGGCTCCCACCTGTACGGCTCCCACCTGTACGGCTCCCACCTGTACGTCTCCCACCTGTACGGCTCCCACCTGTACGGCTCCCACCTGTACGGCTCCCACCTGTACGGCTCCCACCTGTACGGCTCCCACCTGTACGGCTCCCACCTGTACGGCTCCCACCTGTACGGCTCCCACCTGTACGTCTCCCACCTGTACGGCTCCCACCTGTACGGCTCCCACCTGTACGGCTCCCACCTGTACGGCTCCCACCTGTACGGCTCCCACCTGTACGGCTCCCACCTGTACGGCTCCCACCTGTACGGCTCCCACCTGTACGACTCCCACCTGTACGACTCCCACCTGTACGACTCCCACCTGTACGACTCCCACTTCTATTGCCCTGGAAGTATTGAGGTCTCACCTAAACTCCTTTCCCCTCTCGCTGGGCCTACTGGTGTATGCAGGTTGGCGGGCGCCGTCCCTCTCCCAGACCTACCACTTGGCATGCATTGAGCACGGCACACCCCCCTTGCAACCCATCAAACACGCCCTCTCGCACATGGTATTGCTCTCATCTCAAAGCCTTCTGCATTTCCGTACTAATCACTCCCTTGGCCTCTCGCACCTGATTGACTTTTGAGTCGACTCAAAAGTCACATGGTATTGCTCGCATCTCATAGCCTTTTGCATTTCCGTACTAATCACTCCCTTGGCCTCTCGCACCTGGTACTGTCTCCTTACCCTCATGCGTTTCTGTACTGTTCCCTTGGGCTTTCTCCCTTTGTTTTCTGAGAGTTCTCAAAGCCCCTCCTACCAGCATGCGCTCGTTTGTTGCACCCACTTCTGCTGCCTGTGTTATCTGCACCTGCGGCATGTGAGACACTGAATCACCGAAAGGCAGGTGTGATCTCTGCGACTGTTCCTGGGCAGGTGTCTCCCCCCTTCCTTTCTTAACGTCGTGCGAGTGTGTGTGTGTGTGTGTGTGTGTGTGTGTGTGTGTGTGTGGTTTCCTCTTCCCGCTTCTCCAGGTTCATTCTCTGAAGCGCATTTGCCTGCGAGGGCTGGGGCTCACAGACGAGCAGGCAGCGCCACGTGATGATAAATCTGTTCGGAGACGTCTCAAGTCAACCCAACCTCCCACCCTCCCGCCCGCCCGCTCGCCCGCCCCTGCAGGTTCATTCTCTGGAGCGCATCTGCCTGCCAGGGCTGGGGCTCACAGACGAGCAGGCAGCGCCGCTGCTGGATGCTGCTGCCTGCATGCCTGCTCTCACCTTCCTCAACCTCTCACATAACCAGCTGGGTATGCGCGTGTGATGAGTTTTTGAGTCGAGTCAAAAACCGCCGCTGCTGGATGCCGCTGCCTGCATGCCTGCTCTCACCTTCCTCAACCTCTCACATAACCAACTGGGTATGGGTATCTGTGTGTGTGCGGTCGGTGGGGGGAGGAGGGAGGGAGGGGGAGATGGTGTGCATGTGTGGTTGCGTGGGTGCGTGTATGCAGGCGTGCGTGTATGCATGCGTGCGTGGGTGCACGTTGCACCACCACCGACTCAAGAAGTGTCCAATCGTCCGTCCCCATGCACGCAACCTGTACATTGACCCTCGTCCCAGGCTGTTGGTCCTTCATACGTACGGCTTGCCTAAGTTTGAGGCTCCTCAAAACTAGTCACCTCATAGGAATCGTTCTCTATCCGCCCGTCCGTCCCCGTGCATGCATCCTGCACCCTTGGCCCAGGTTGCTCCTCCCTCATAAAGATTGCCACCTTGTTCCAGCAACGATTGCCTGCCCAGCAGCAGCAGCACCACCTCCACTCCCCACCAGCAGCAGGAGGCACAGCTGCAGGAGTAGCAGCAGGAGGGGGAGAAGGCGGAGAAGGAAGAAGAGAAGGTCCAGAAGGGGCAAACCCAGGGGCAGCAGCTGCAGCGGCCGCCACAGCAGCAGCAGCAGCGTTGGGATATGCGCCACTGGGCGAGTCATGTCTGTCGGCTCCGCTGCTGTCTCTTGACCTACACGCCAACTGCATCACCTATGAGGCGCTACGGCACCTTGTAAGCCCTGGGTATGAGGGAGCCTTATGAGGGAATTTTCGAGGTATGGGTGGCCTGGCCGCTGCTGTCCCTTGTCCTGCATGCCATGCCAACCGCGTCACCTAGGAGGCCCTTCGGCACCTTGTAAGCCGGCCTTGCCCTCAACTGGGTATGTGGGCGCCATGAAAGCAGCAAGCAAGTAGCAAGGGAGTAGCGAAGGAGCACCAGGGGAGTAGCTAAGGAGCAGCAAGGGAGTATAAGAAAGTATGGTTGGGTTTTGGTTTCCTTGTCTTTGAAACTTCATGCCTGTGACATCACCTGGTATGGAGTGCAGTGCAGTGCCATGCAGTGCTTTATTGTGCTGCGCTGTCCGCTGTCCGCTGTGCAGTTTCTCTTCAATAAAATCCTCTCCCCTTTCCCCCCCCCCTCCTCTCCCTTTCCCCCCGCCTCCTCTCCCTTTCCCCCCGCCTCCTCTCCCCTCCTTCCCTCCCCCCGAACAGCTTTTGTCATCGTCCCCTTTCCTGGCCTATCTGAGTCACATTGACATCTCTCACAACCCCTGGATACCGCATGCGTTTGCCCTGCGCTGCGACAACAGCTGGGCCACCGGTCTCTTGCGCCTGCTGCTGCTGCGCTGCTCCTGTGCGTACCTTAAACCTTACTCTTAAACCCGAAACCCTGAACCCGAAAGTTGGGCACTGATCATGTATCTGAATTATTATGAGTGTATGTGTTACATGTGTTTGCTCACTGGTCTCCTCCAATAAGTGTGCTCTAACGTCAGCTGTTGCCACCTCTGCCCTCCCTTGCTCCCCCTCCTCTCCCATGCTTCCCCCCACCCCACCCACGCTTCCCTCGCTCGTCCCTGCAGCCCTGTCGTCCATTGCGCTACGTGCTGACGTGGATGCAGCACACACTCCCACCTTTCTCTCCAGAGCCATTCTCAAGCTCGCTGCTCCTGCCTCTCAAAACCTGAACTGCTCCCCTCCTCCTCCTCCACAATCCGCCTCAACACCAGCAGTAGCATCACCAGCACCAGCACCAATATCATCAGCAGCAGGAACAGCATCACCAGCAGCACCAGCAGCAGCAGCAGCAGCGGCACTGCAATCACCATCACATCCACCATCAGCAGAAGCTGCTGCTGTTGTGCTGCCTCCTCTCTCTCGCATCTCTCTCGGTGCGTTCCTCTCCCAAATGGTTCCTCTCCCTGCCTGTGCCTCGTTCGTACGCCCTCCAAGCTGACTTTTGAGACGTCTCAAAAGTCTGCTGCTGCTGTGCTGCCTCCTCTCTCTCTCGCATCTCTCCCAAATGGTTCCTCTCCCTGCCTGTGCCTTGTCCGTGTGCTCTACAAGCTGAGTCAAGAGTCACCTCTTGATCGAAACTGAGTTTTTTCTTCCTTGGCGCCTAGCCTCCTTCACGAGTCCTCTCTCTCACTCAATGTGTCTGTCTCTCCCCACACGTCAACTGAGGCGATTCTTGTGGCGCCTAAAAGAACTGCCTAGCGTCGCTCGATGTGCATGCCTCTTCTTTTTTTCCCTCCCCTCGTCTCTCTCCTCTCCTCTCCTCTCCTTTCCTCCCCTCTTGCTCAAGCTATCTCCTCTCCTCCCTTTCCACTTCCCCACGCCCACAACGACCCCTACAGATGGCTACAGGGACATGTCCGTTACAGCAATGGCCCCTTTTGAGTCGACTCAAAAGCAGGCCCCTACAGACGGCTACAGGGACATTTCCGTTACAGCAATGGCCCCTCCCTGTTAACTCGCCTCTCTCCTCCCAGCTCTCCTCATCTCCTCACCTTCCATCTCGCTCAGCCACTCTTCTCTCCTCTCCTCCCTCTTCCCACGCCCACCATCCCTCCCACAGACGGCTGCAGGGATATGTCCATAACTGCACTCACTCGCCTCTTCTCCTCCTGGCTCCTCTCCTCTCCTCTCCTCTCCTCTCCTCTCCTCTCCTCTCCTCTCCTCTCCTCTCCTCTCCTCTCTTCTCCTCTCCTCCCATATCGCTCAAGCTCTCTCCTCTCTTGCCTCCCTCTTCCCACGCGCACCATGCCTCCCACAGACGGCTGCAGGGACATGTCCATAACTGCACTCAAGCGCCTCTTCTCCTCCCAGCTCTCCTCTCGCTAAAGCTCTCTCCTCTTCCATCTTCTTCCTTACCGTCCCCCACACCCACCCAACATGCCTCCCACAGACGGCTGCAGGGATATGTCCATAACTGCACTCAAGCGCCTCTTCTCCGCCCTCTCCTGCCTTCCACTGTACGCCATTTCCCTCTCACTTGATGCGCCTCAAAAAGTCGTCCCACAGTACGCTTCGACGCCCACCCCCTGTTGTTTCCTTCTCTCTCCCTCCCTCCCACTACTCCCTTTTATTGCCCCTACTGATGGTCTTGCGCACGCACCTTTACCAGCTCCAGAAAGTGCGTTCTGTTCCATCATTGACTTTTGAGACCTAAAGGTGTCTCAAAAGTCACCTTTACCAGCTCCAAAGAGTGTGTTCTGTTCCATCATTGAACCAAAACGTATGCACTCTCGTACAAGCCATGATTAGAATTCCATGGAAGGCTGCTGATTAACTACCAAACTGGTAAGGAATCAAAGCCAAAGGGAATGGAATGATTGGAACGCCTAACATACAATGAAATTCCGAATCATCAAAACCGGTTTTTGGCATTCATCACATCACCCCCTCCTGCCTCCCTCTCTGCCTCCCTCCCCACCACCCCCTGCCTCTTAATCTTCCCCAAGCAATCAACAAGAATTACCCATTCAGCTGTTTAGAACCCCAAACTTATCCTCCCCCTCCCCCTTCCCCCCTCCACAAACTTATCCTCCCCGATCATTCCTTCCATCCTCCAGTCTGCAGGATCTCTCTCTGCCCCGCCTGCCTCTCGACTGTCCCCAAGCGGCGGCGGTCTTTGCTCGCTTCCTCCTCTCCTGTCGCCGCCTCTGCTCCCTGCGCCTCCCTCATGCCACATTCTCCCGGGTATGTTATGTTGTGAGCGCCCAAGCTTCTAGGTGAGTTTTTTTAGTTGACTCAAGAGTCGACGTGCTCCCTGCGCCTCCCTCACGCCACATTCTCCCGGGTATGTTATGTTGTGAGCGCCCAAGCTTCTAGGTGAGTTTTTTTAGTTGACTCAAGAGTCGACGTGCTCCCTGCGCCTCCCTCACGCCACATTCTCCCGGGTATGTTATGTTGTGAGCGCCCAAGCTTCTAGGTGAGTTTTTTTAGTTGACTCAAGAGTCGACGTGCTCCCTGCGCCTCCCTCACGCCACATTCTCCCGGGTATGTTATGTTGTGAGCGCCCAAGCTTCTAGGTGAGTTTTTTTAGTTGACTCAAGAGTCGACGTGCTCCCTGCGCCTCCCTCATGCCACATTCTCCATGGCATGTTGTGAGTGGCTTTTGTTTTGAGGTGTTTCAAAGTTCTATTCCATCCATGGTATGTTTTGAGCGCACTCCTTTCCCCATTAGGTAGCATTGCGCAAACGTTCGCACAACCATTCTGCAGCCATTTTTCACCCACTCATACTGCTCTTTCTTCTTCAGTACCTCCCCCCATAATCACACACCATTCCTTCCTTCCCCCCACCTTCCCCCCACCTTCCCCCCACCTTCCCCCCACCTTTCCCCCACCTTCCCCCCACCTTCCCCCCACCTTCCCCCCACCTTCCCCCCACCTTTTCCCCACCTTCCCCCCACCTTCCCCACACCCCACCATCATGGCTCAGCCGTCTGCATTGGCGTTCCAACAAGCTGTGATGGAAGGTGCGTCAGCCCCAAGCCACCCTGCACAACCACAGCAGCAGCAGCAGCAGCAGCAGCAAGCAACAGCACAGCCAGTCAGGTTCCACCTGGAGCAGCTAGATCTCTCTGGTGCCCTCATCTCAGCTGCTCCCGCCACCCCTCTCGCCACCGCTCCTCCCTCCTCTCCTCCCACCGCCCCTCCCTCTCCTGAAGCAGGCCACTGGCCGTTCTTCCTGCCAATGCACCTGCCGGCAACACACGCAACCCTCGCAACACACGCAACACACGCAACCCTCGCAACACACGCAGCACCTGCTGCAGCAGCATTTCCTATGGCACCTGCTGCAACTACTGCACCTGCGGCAGCAGCAGCAGCAGTGTCGCCCTGTCAGCTCAATCAACTATCTCAGCCGTCTCAGCCCTCTGACGCCATGGCTGTAATACTCCATGCGTTGCTGCCTGACTCACCTCGCCTACGACACATCAGTCTCTCAGGCACCCACCTCTCCCTCCCCGTGAGTTTCCCATGTCCGTCTCCCCCTCCATCTGCATCCTTGCATTCCCGTCTCCTGTGTCACTCACACCAGCCTTCCAATTTTCATTCTTTCCTACGAGCTCCCCTGCCCCTTCCGTCTCTCCATTCACACCCATGAGATCCCTTCCACTTCTCGCCCTTACAGTGTCAAGACATCACCTGTATTCAGCTGCCCCATAATTTCCAGCTTCATTTAGCTCTTCCCTCTCGCATCTCCTCTGTTTTTTCTTCATTTTTCCTCGCACACCGGCCTGACCGAGCCCACCTCATTCTTATAAACATCTCTTCATATCATCCCGTTCCTCTTCCCCCTCCTCTCACCTCCCTCTCCCATCTTCCCCCAGGCCCTCCTTCCCCTGCTGCAGCACCTGGCGTCTCCTCTCTGTCGCCTGGTGCATCTAGACGTTTCACGCTGCACCCTACACCACCCCTCTGCTCTTGCACTGCTGCAAGCCATGGCAGGTGCGTGCGTGTGTGGGGGTGAAAGAGAGGGGGATATGCAAGTGTGCGTGCTTGTTTTTGTGCGTCTGGGGGTGCATGTGTGTTTGCGTGCGTTTGTGCAAGAAGCAGAGTGTGAAAGGGGGGGAGTACAGGGAATGGAAGTGTGGTGGAATGGACAGAGATGGAAGACAGAGGGGATACCAGGAACAATCAAGCAAGAGCGAGAAGGAGCGTGAGAGCGAGAAGGAGCGTGAGAGCGAGAATGAGCATGAGAGCGAGTGTAAGATGGAGATTGAAAGATGAAGGTTCTTATACGCTCATGTAAGACCGAGACTGAAAGATGAAGGGGACTGTAACGCCCGCTTCCTCTGCCACTGCAAGTGTAGTGCATGAATATCCTCTTCTTTGCTACCCTGTCTCCCCTTAATCCTATCCTTCATCCGAACAGGTCCGCTTCCATGTGAGACGTCTCAAAAGACAAAAACGCCCTTTTCTGTGTCCTATGTTACCCTGTCTCCCCTTAATCCTGTCCTTTCATCCTACACAGGTCCCCGCCACTGCCCAGTCCGCTTCCTCCGCCTCTCCTTCAACCCAATCCTCTCTCCCCCGCCCAACTCGCCCCCCACCCCGCCCCGTACCGGCCTTTCCTCCGCCCATGCATCCCCCGCGCCTCTCCTCCTGTCGTCTCCTCCCCTCCCTCCCATCCCTGCTCAACCCATGCTGCCTGGTGCTGCTGCAAGCTGCCTACCCATAGCTCCTCTCCATTACCCCTTTACTGGCCTTCCAACTGTAGTATCACCATCTGTTGGTGGAAACGATGGGCATGCATCTTCTCCTCCTTTTGGGGCGCCTCAAAAGTCTCTTGGTAGGCATGATGGGCATGCATCTTCTCCTCCTCGTTCCTGTGCTGTAAGCCCTTGCCGTAAGGCCTCGTTAGAAGAGCAGGTAGAGGGTTTTGAGCAGACGGCGAAGAGGCAGAAACGACAGGAATGGCAGCAACCGCAGCAGCAGCAGCAGCAATACCACTGGCAGAAACCGCAGCAGGAGCAGCTGCAGCAGCAACCGCAGCAGCAGGAGCAAGAAAGAGGAAGAGACGCTGACACGGTAGTCGATTCGGGGCATTTCCAATTGGGGGAGACACAATCAGGGGAGGTGGAAGTGGTGGAGGAGAGTGAATTTGAAGAAGATGAGGAAGAGGAGGAACTGGATTGGTGGCCCAACCATTGCAAAGGGGACATCAAGAAAGACATGTCTGATCCAGCTCGAGGTAAGAATGCCAATGATGCTTCAGGAGCAGCTACTGCTGCACCTGGCGGTGCTACAGCTGCTGCCGCCGCTACTGCTGCTGCTGCTACGTCTGCTGCTGCTGTTGCTGCTGTTCCTGATTTGCCATCGCTCAATGCTGCTGCGACTGCTGTGGCTGCTCCTGTTCCTGCTCCCCTGGTTCACGATGCTTGCGATGGTCCCGGGAGAGGAACAGGTTTGGGAGAAGGGAGAAAGAGACGAAGAGAAGACGGGGTTGAAGGGGATGGTGAGCAGGAGATGGGGGCAGTAAATGGGGTCTCAGAAGTGCAAGTACCAGCAGAACCAGCAGCTGCAACAGGATCACCACCACAATCACCATCGGCACCAGCAACTGCACCAGCAGCACCATCAGCACCGTCAGCAGCACAATCAGCAGCACCATCAGCAGCACCATCAGCAGCAGCAGCAGAGTCAGACCATCCTGACCCGTTCTCTCCTGCCAGTTGCTCCTGGAGGGCAGAAGCTCTCCTGCAGATGCAAAGAGCAGCTCAAACGGCAGGTTTCGGTTGCTGCTGCCTTAGCAGCACAGACAACAGCCGCTGCAGTGGTACCCGAGGCATGAGTGGGAGTACCGGCAGCAGTAAAGGCAGAGGAGGAAGGGGAAGGGCGGGCGATGGTGGTCTGTTGGAGGTGGATGGTTGTGGCTTGTCCCCTGAGGAGTGTGATGTGCTGCTAACATGTGGTGATGGTGGCTGTAGGGGTAGGGCTGTGTGTGGTGGTGCATGTGGAGATAGAGGTACAGGTGCTGCTGGTGGAGCTGTTGGTGGCGGGTTTAACGGGCTTGCTAGTGCTTTGGTCCCGCCTCATCACTGCGAGTTTTGCAGCGAGTGAATGGTGTTTTGTTGCTTGTTTAGTTTCCATTTGCATGCTAGTATTGCATCGCGATCAGCATCGATTCTGATTTTAAGGTTGGACGCGTCTCACAATGATGGTTTACCAAACAGTTCTTGTGGGAACTGGTAGTGAGTTTTGGAGGGCACCAAACCAGTTTATCATATGGCTTTGTTGAGGATTAAAAAAGTGCAATATAACAACCTGAATTGTAGATGCACCTAGCCTTCAAACCTCCAATGATTGTGACAGTTGGTGTCACCAAGTCAATGGGTTATTGGTGGGACATCTTTGCGCTTCGGCGAGGGAATTCATACGATAACGACGTGATGCATACCACATCCCCGAGCCTAAGTCACCACCACCGAAGTTGGCGTTCCGAGCCGAATCACTCCGCAAGTGCGATGAGTTCCCCCATACTCTGCCTCGGCACGAAGACCGCTTTCTGCGCGAACCTTGCCGTGCCAGGCAAGGCGCCGCCGCCTTTCTTGGTGGTGGTGGTTCGGCCCGCGCTTGGTTCCTCATTTGTCGCCGTCACGGTAATCCCCAGGCTGCGAGCAAGTCCTGGGGTCACCCGAACCACACCATACGTCCCTTCCGCCGGGCCTGCGGCCTACCAAACTTCCCACGAACCGAAACGCCCAAGCTTCCTCCTCGCACCCTTCCTTTGTCGATCTCATGTCACTCATCTCTTTCTTCCTAGCTCAACTGAACTCCCCTCCTCCCTGCGTAACTTGCGGCCTTTTTCCTTACAGAATTATTTCGGGTCGGTGGTTCATTTTTCGATCTTAGACTCATTCTTCTCTCCTTTCTGATCGTCTAGCCATTGTGTGGGATACGCTGACGAAAATAACATTTTCAGCGAGCTGCAGTCCAGTGATTTCAAGCAATTGATAGCGTACTCAAAATAGTATAGGTGTCGTTCCCTGCAAGTGCCTGGGTGTTTCCAGCCAATCAACATTCTCGACCAGTTTCAGGAAAGCGATTATTGAGTTCGGATCAAATTAAGCAAGGCATTTCCTGGTACCGTACTGCTCAGGAGGCGTGCGTCAAAGCCTCGTGGACTATTCTATTCTGAAGCTCAGTCATAGGAGCGTCCATCAGAAATACATCGAGCGGCCTCACTGGCCTCACTACTTCAGCAGACGTCCACGCGACTCACAGCAGGTCCGTTTCTCCCATACCTCTTACCTTAGCTGCCTTAGCAGACGGTCTTCGAACTGGCGAGTATATTAAAGCGTCACCACCGCAAGAACCAGCGACATGTGTCGCTCGCTGCTTGCTTCTCGACCCGGCCAAATTTGTTATGATAAAATACTGACACGGCTCACCCGACCAGCGAACGACGTGCTTGTTCCGATCACTTCATTCAGTCTAGCTTGTGGAGATCCTTCCGAACTTTCGAGAGGTGGGTAGCACACCGGGCGAAGACTTATTAGGAGGTTGCACCTACAGTCGAGTCCATGGCGGCTTTTGCCACCAAGAGTTCTTCGTCCGTCTCTTATCCTCTTCTGTAGGTCTCATGCCTTTGTTGCGGAATCCGCGCTATATCGTCTGTTACACTCTTTACCATTCGTTCCCCCCGACCTTCCATAACAGGTCCGTCATGCCTACCCATCGTCCCCCCATGGATTGCGGTACGCCGCAGCTTGCGGCGTTCTTCCTCGCCTGCGCGCTCCTCCTAGGTACGAAAGTCTCTTTCACACTCGAAACGAGAACCGCGCTCCTTTTTGCCGTCGCGCTTCAGAAATTGGCATGGTTCGACTTTACCAGCCTCGTATCGTACCTTCGTACCTTCCATGGAGTGTGCTCGCACATGGCTCCTCGCTAGCGCGTGCTAATTATGCTAATTTAAACCTACCTCCTCAGCCTCGAGAGTTCCTCATAGACGCCTCGCACGTGCCACAAAGCCGCTTAGCTTCAGAGAACTTTTGAATATACGCACAACCAGCCTCGAGAGTGCTTGTCGCGTATGCGGTTGTGGTGTTTGAGATTTTCCCAAGGCAGCTCACGATGCCGTGTGGTCTCAAACTCGGTCATTTGGAAGGAAGAAAGCGATACGAAACGAACGGGCGGAATGAACAGGAGCCGGTGGAATACCTGTTGTCGTGGTCCTCTTCTCATTCTCTTCTAGTGCATACCGCACTCCAGAGTCCAGATACATACCTTCGCCTCCCCTTCACTCCTCTTACATGTACCGTCGCCACCACAGCCGATTCGTGCCATCAGCATGGTGACGGGGATTCTCCTCTCTCCCTTTCGCACCCTGTCCTTCCGCCCACCCGCTCCGCACCTGCGCTTCTTCCGCCGGTGTCGATCCCCCTGCTTGACTACCATCCCCCGCCTTCCCCCCGTCCCCCTAGTTCCCACCGTCCCAGCCCTTTCCCCCTTTTCCCCCTCCCTCCACCACTCTTCCCCTCCTATCGCTTTCCGCGGCAGTGAGCGTGGCGGCACCCGCATCAGCGGTGTTCAAAGTCAAGGAGCTGGCGGTGCCGTTTTGAGACTTCTCAAAACTCTACTTTTATCACGTGGCACCCGCATCAGCGGTGTTCAAAGTCAAGGAGCTGGTGGTGGCGATGCCTACCTCTTACGCCCTACCTACCCCTCCTCAATCTCCCGTCTCTCCTTTCCCACTCTTCCCCCCTTCCCCCTCCTCATCCCTTCCCCCTCAATATCGCTTCTCCGGCAGTGAGCGCGGCGGTGCCGGCGGCGGCGGTGTTTCAAAGTCGCGTCGTACAAGGAGCTCGTGGTGGCAACGACGCCTCTCTCGTCCCCCCTTCCCCTCCTTACGTCTATCTCTACTCCCCTCGTTCCCTCCCTCTCGCCTGCCCGGCAGTGAGCGCGGCGGTGCCGGCGGCGGCGGTGTTCAAAGTCGCGTCGTACAAGGAGCTCGTGGTGGCGATGCAGGCGGGCGGGCCCATCGTCGTGTCGCACTCGTTCTACCTCGACGGGCCGCTGCCCAACGTGTCGCGCCCGCTCACCATCTCCGCCGATCCCGTGTGCAAGAAGACGCAGGTGCGTGTGATATATTTTGGTCTATTCAGGTCGTCTCAGAAGCGGGCCGCGAGGTGCTCTGTGTGTGTGTGACCCTGACCCGTGTTTCACGCGGTCCATCGTGCCCTTCCCCCGGTCGCCATCTCCGCCGATCCCGTGTGCAAGACGACTCAGGTGCGTGTGATATATATTCCCGATAGTATTCTCCATGATATTCCCTATGAACTAGGCGCCTCAGAAGCACACCAACGTCGCACCGCCTCCCTCTCCAGTTTCCCTCATCTCCTTCCACTTCTCCCACCTTCATCCTTTCCTTCTCTCCCTCCCTCCCTCACTCCCACTCTCCGTCTCCCCTCCTCTCACCCACTCCCAGCTTCGATTCTGCCGGCTAGACGGCAAGCGCAAAAACCGTCACTTCATGGTCGTCAAGGGCGGCCAGCTCCGCCTCACCGGCCTGCTCCTCTCGCGCGGCCGCCCGCGCTCCGGCAGCGGCGGCTCGATCTGGGTCCTGGACGGCGGCAGCGCGATTCTCAACCAAGTCTACTTCCGCTTTAACGGAATCGGCGGAACCACCGCGTCGGGCGGCGCGATTGAGGTGGACTCGGGCGGGAGCGTCCGCATGACTGCGTGCCACTTTATCCGCAACTTCGCTGGGTTTGGCGGCGCGATTGCTGGCGCGCTGCGCGCGACGGTGGTGGCGGACTATTGTATTTTCCACAGGAATCAGGCGTCGACGGCGGGAGGCGCGGTTTCGCTGATTATGGACTCGGCGGGGGTGTTCCGACGACCCAAGTTCTTTGCCAATCTGGCCGGGGTGAGAGATGTTATTACTCTCTCAAAAACAGAATACCTCTGAAGTTTTTTTCTTTTTGGAAAACAATCTAAGGTTGAAGGGCGTACGCTCTCTTTTTTAATTTTTTCTGCTTACTTCCATTCCATTTTGTTGACATGCTTTTGCTGCAGATTAGAACGTGTTTCCATGTCTCCTTCCCATTTGTGTCATAATTTTGCAGGCGGGCAGTGCAATGCAGGCAGATGGGTCAAAGTTAAACCTGTGCAACGTGCTGTGGTACAACAACAACGCCACTCTCCCTGTAAGCATGCTTCTCCCACCCATGCAAAGCCTGGTAACTCTCATTCCCCCTGCTCCTGTCACCCTCCCTTCTGCTCCCTCCTGTCACACTCACACCACCCCTCCACGCCTTCCTGCCTAGTCTCTCCAGTCTTTCGCCCTCTCTCCTTGTCCCGTCGTCCCTCTCCGTCCCTCCCTTGCATCCTTTCCACCTCATTCTATCTCGACCCAGTCCATGCATGTGTCGCAAGCCTTTTTCTCTCTCCAGAGGTTTGCCTTCTTGTATATGCTTTTGGATCTTCTGCTGTCCCTGTGTGCTTGCTGGTTGCACATCCACTCTGGTTGCTGTTTGACTGATAGACATCCCTCTTCTATTCCCTGCTTTTTCATTCAATCATAATTTTAGGATACGGCATTCTTGGCGACTGAGAAGAGTGTGGTGACGCTGTGTCGCACGAACCCTGCAATTATTAACGCCACGAGGGGCTCTACAGTCGTGCAGTCTTGTGCCTTCTGCCCAGTGCGAAGAAAATAGTGCTTGGTATAGCGTGCACCAGATAAGCAGACATGAAGGTAAATTGTGCTCTGGAACAGCCCCATGTTGAGGGAGTAGGGTTTGTAGGGTTGATCAAGCATTGCTATAGGATTGTGAACCTTTGGCTGATCAAGTTCTGTAGTTTCCGTCTATAACCGGTTTTAGGGTGCTAATCTACAGGGTCACTTGTTCTTGAGTTGATTCCGTAGCCGAGTTATTGAGCTGTAGTGGACTTCCCACATGTAAGCTCAACTGTGTGACTGATTGCTTTTGAGTTACTTTACATGTTTGCTATTTGCTTGGCGAAACATGTAAGCGCAACTGTGACTGATTGCTTTTGAGTTACTTTACATGTGTGCTATTTGCTTGGCGAAGCTCAGCAAAAACACTGGATATTAATTAAAATATGCGTGTTTGCGAGAACGCTTTCCGCTACCGAGGCTGACACTACCACGCCATGTCGTCCACACTGAGCGAACAGCTCCAACCTGTCACGAAGAGATGCGAACACGTACCTTCGCCAATCACCAGAAGATCCTTGGCCACGAAAGGAACCACGAAGCACCGCCTCATTCCACAACATCTGTCAGCTGACGTGCTTTCTGTCGATGTGGCTCAGGGTACATGTCATCATCAAATCTCATCCACTTACAAATCTTTTGCTGTCGCGATGTCCCCGCGCGGTCCCTTCCCCACCAGCCCCTTCAGTTTCCAGCTTCCCGGGTTCCCCAGCAGCTTCACTCGTGCTTCCCCAAGTTTCCCCAGCTCCTCGCATCCCCCCATTCCTGCCTCCGCTCATTCCAGCCTCCGCTCATTCCAACTGATGGTTCCTTCCTCCGCATCTCCCCGTCCACATTCCTCCCCTGCTGCCTTTCCCCATTTCCCCGCGATCGGTGTCTTCCAGGGCCCTCCTGAAACAGACATTTGATTTGAACGCCAACAGAACAGCAGAAGCACCAAACATACCATTGATTCACTGACTGACATTGCAATTGCTCGCAATTGTTCATTCCTACGTCAGTCAGCATAGCTATCGGCAGCAGCCGTGCCGTGTTCTGCTGCTCGAGCCGAAAGACCAGTCGCAGTACAAGCCACACTTAGATTCCCAGAGGCGTTTCGGCTAGCTGCTAGCTGTCGCAGCCTTTGCTTCGTGCGGAAGCCGATAACCATACTCTTTCGCGAGCTTCTTCGCCATGGCCTGCGCCTCGGCCCAAGTCGTGTCGTCCTCGCAGCGCCTGCTCGGCGCGCAGGCCATTCCGTCGTCTCTATCGGGTGAGATGCGGAGCCAGATGATCAGACACATTGCTGGTTAATTCGCTGTTAACGATTGTTACATTATGGAGTTTCCCTGAATAGATGCTCATGACCTCTCCTTTCCAGTGGATATGCTCAGTGACCAATATCCATTGCTGCAATATCACGGCCATAATATCACGGATTATCTCGCGTTGTGCGTGGCGAATTTCGTCAGACACTACCCGCTCCTAGTCCTTATCATGTTTGTTCCTTCTTCTCCCCGTCCTCTGTATCTCCTCTCTCTTTCGCTCTTTTCTTCCACGTGTCATGCTTGGATCCAGAAAGCACGCACGTGACGCGTCACGCTGCTGTCAGCATCTCGCAGCGCCGAGTCCGGCCGTGCCGAGCAGGTGAGAAGCGGCAGATTTCATGAAAAAACAGGGAATGGTAAGTTTAAACGAAGGAGGGAGTGGCAAGAGAAGAAATGATAGCGATGGGGAAGTGGGAGAAGACAGAAAGGCCGGTTCTTTTTCGCATTTGCAATTCGCCTTTTCAAATCCCCACGAACGAGCTCCGTTGTCCCACATTCCGTCACCATCCCTCTTACTCCTTACTCGTTTGCTCTTCTCCCTCCCCTCCCCCCTTCCGCAGAAGCCGCAAAGGCCAACACCTCCGCATCTGACGGCGACGTCTCGCGCCGCTCGCTGCTCATCACCGCGCCCGCCGCTGCCGCCGCGCTGGGCCTCTCTCTCTCCCTCTCCCCGGCCGCGTTGGCGGCGCCGCGCACGGTCCTTCCGACGGAGAGCGAGGAGGAGCTGAAGCTGTGCACGGCCGAGTGCGAGGCGGCACTGGAAGATGTGAGTAATGAGTGACTGAGGCCATCGAGCGAGCAGAGTGGGGGTTGGGTTCTTGAGTCGACCTGATTGGGACGGCATGGCGCGTCGGACGGAGAGCGTTGAGCAGCTGAAGCTGTGCACGGCGGAGTGCGAGGCGGCACTGGAAGATGAGATTAGACGAAGCGAGTGGGGCGGGAGGGGGAAAGGAAGGGGGGAAGTGGTGGGAGGGAGGGAGGGGAAGGGATTGGAGGTGACGCAGGAGGGTGTCACGGAATGCGTGCGAGCGTGGGAAGCGTGGTGCTAGCAACGGCTCCCAACCAGGAGGAATGCAGAACAGAACGCAGCTTAATCATAACCACCCAACCTCTCCCGTCCCCCCGCCTCTTCCCCCCGCAGATCCCACTGCAGACGACCGCTTCGGGGCTGCAGTACCGGGACATCGTGGTGGGGCGAGGGCCGTCCCCGCCCGTGGGCTTCCAGGTCGCAGCTGACTACGTTGCTATGGTGCCGTCCGGGAAGATCTTCGCCAGGTGAGCGTGTGACACACGTCCCTGCCCGCGGTTCCTCTTCTGAGACGGCTCGAGGGCCGTCCCCTCCCGTGGGATTCCAGGTTGCAGCTGATTACATTGCCATGGTTTCAGCGCCTCCGGGAAGATCTTCTGCAGGTCTCTCTCCCTTGCCAGCTCGCTCTCTCGTTTTGATCTTGCCTGCCTTTTTTCCCTTCACCGCTTTTCCTTTCGGTCCTCTCTTCTGTCCCTTCCAACGTTGACACTGCACATCCTCTTGTCAAGTACACCACTTTGCTGCCACTGCCCGCTCTCTCTCCATCGTTCTCGTCTGGTGTTTTCCCTGCCCAGATTCTCTCCCCACTCTACTGCGTACCTACTCCCTTCGCCTCATCAGATTCATTCGGCCATGTCATCCTTTGTTTGCACCTTTTGCCTCTTCTGCTGCTCCTCCTGCTGCTCCCTCCCCGTTTATTTCATGTGACTTCGACATTTAGAACGCCTCAATAATCCTCCCTCCTCCCTGCCGACCCCTGTTGCCCCTATCCCCATGTGCCCCACGTGACCCTCGCAGCTCTCTGGAGAAGAAAATGCCCTACATCTTCCGCGTTGGCTCAGGCCAGGTGCGTGTGTGGGGGAGGAGTGTGTGCGTGCGTGAGTGCGTGCATCTGTGCGTGCGTAAGTGCGTGCGTCTCTGTATGTGCGTCCGTGTGTGCCCCTTCCAACCCACCTTCGCTCCTCAATGCTGGAAATCACCAACAATGGCTACTTTTTGGCAACAGGCAGAACCACATTGGGAGACCAGCACAAGGGTGCCCATGAGTCTCCTCAAGAGGGCTACGTGCCCCTTACTGTTGCTTCTCCTAGCATCCCTTGTTATCTTCTCCTCCCCACCTCACGCACACCCCCTTTTCCTCCCCACTCTCCCTCTCCCACTCCCTCTCTCCCATCACCAGATGCTGGCAGGGCTGTGTTCGTGCATCCTCGAGGCTTGAAATGTCTTGAATCACCCTCCTCACCCTCTCTTCGTGCCTCTCTCTCCCACCTTCCATCTCTCTCCCTATCTCTCTCCCCTATGCCCTCTGCCCTATCTCCAGGTCGTAGCAGGACTGGACGAGGGTATTCTCACCATGAAGGTTGGGGGCCTGCGCCGGCTCTACATCCCTGGAGAGGTATGGTTACACCTCTGGTGGGGTACAGGTGGATCTAATGAAAGGTACGGTACTGTCTCTGGAGCAGTACGGTCTCACTTATGGTGGGACGCAGCTGCATTTGTTGGAAGGTGCGGTTTCATCAGGTACGGTTACATGTCTGAAAAGGGACAATCGATTTGTAGAGGAACTGTCACATCTCTGGCGCGGTCAGTTTCATGTTCAGAAAGGTATAATCATCACCTCTGAAGAGGTAAGGGGGCGTTCAGGGGAAAAAAGAACTGTTACATGTGGGAAGTGTCAAGTGAATCGTTTATAAGGCCAATTGTACCACTTCCCCTTCCCCCCACCACCCAACCCCCGCCCCAGTTCCTTCCCCCAGCCGTACCACTATGCCATTCCTCTCCCCCGCCCCTCCTCTCCCAAACCGGTCTTTCTAGATCCCTAGTATGGTTCAAGATCCACCCTCGTCCCCTTTGCTCATTTTTCTCTCCCGTCTCTCCCCTCCCGTCCTCAGCTGGCCTTCCCCAAGGGCCTTGCATGTGCGCCTCATGACGCCTTAATGTGTCTCAAATCACTCCGTGCCCCCCTCTGCTCCTCTCCCCTCCCGTCCTCAGCTGGCCTTCCCCAAGGGCCTTGCATCGGCCCCTGGCCGTCCGCGTGTGTTGCCCAACGCCCCTGTGATCTTTGACGTGAAGCTGGCATACGTGCCCGGGCTGGAGGAGGACGAGGAGGAGTAAGAGTGAGGCGTGCAGAGATGAAATAGGAGGGAAGGGGTAGGGGGAAAGTGGGAGGGGTGTGTGTGGGTGGCCGCATGGGGTGTGTTGCCCAACGCCCCTGTGATCTTTGACGTGAAGCTGGCATACGTGCCTGGGCTGGAGGAGGACGAGGAGGAATGATGAGAGCGACACTGACGGGATTGGGA